GGCTCACCTTCTCTGCCCTAGGAGCTTGGGATGGCAGCGGGGGAGCTTCTTTCTGGGTGCTGGGACAGACTCACCTTCTCTGCCCTAGGAGCTTGGGATGGCAGCTGGGGAGCCTCCTTCCGGGTGCTGGGACCAGCTCGCTTTCTCTGCCCTAGGAGCTTGAGATGGCGGCGGGGGAGCTTCTTTCTGGGTGCTGGGACCGGCTCAGCTTCTCTGCCCTAGGAGCTTGGGATGGCAGCGGGGGAGCCTGTAACTTTTTTTAAAAAGCACTTATTAAATGTTAATTTTTTGAGTAGGGATGTTCAGAGTTTCTATTTGTGTCAAGGCCTTTGCATTGAACGTTGAGGGCTCACAAGTTGTTTTTCAGACCTTGGAACCCTAATTTGGAAAGGTTCTCATATCACTACTATATCCTGCCACTTCTAGTCTGTCTCTTGGATTTGACATCCTTTCTCTGGGCTCCGTATGGACCTTTCTTACAGCCCACTATGATTGCCTTCTGTGATCTTACTCCTGTCACCTAAGGATTATAAAAATCTTATTAAGAGAGCCCGGAGGGCTGGACCATTCTGTCTGGTGTTGCTGGAAAAGCCCAGATTAACAATTCCTGAATCTTGAGTCATAATTCTACCAAAAATCTTGTGGATCCAGATTAGCCACCAATTTCTCAGGAACCTCAACTTTGTAAAGTGTAGAGAAGCAGATTTGGAACCATCATATATTTGTACATTTGGAAAATGAGACTATTTGAAATAGATGATGGGAATTTTGTTTGTCAACACATATTTATTTGTTTGTCTACTAGAAAGGGGCATGAAATAAAAGCACTAGCATACTCTGCTAACCAAGAGTGCTTAATTTGTTTGCATGGCCACACACATGAGAGATAAATCCCCTCCCATCTATCAGTAAAGTGGTGCAAAGGTAATAGTTCTCCATAAGGAGTATGTCTGAATGCAAGGTGGGGAAGAAAGAAGGTATAATTTGAAGCCACAGCTGCACCTGTCAAGGAAGCCCATGGCACCATGGAGTGGGTGACAATCCCATTGAAGTAGGGCCTTCTTTTATTTCTGCTGCCCTCAGCCTAAAGGAAATATTTCCTTTATCTATCACAGATTTTCAAAGACATATAGAACTTGATGTTAAATTTGTTTACTCCTCAATTTTTCTTTTGCTATGCTGGGCACCAAACGCAGTCCTTGTACATGCTACACAAGTGCTCGACCACTAAGATATACCCTCAGCCCTCTTTTTTTTTTTCCAAAAAGTAGATGTTATCTCATGTTACTAATATTTGAGATATATTTTTATTTTTGCCCTAAATCTTTCTTCCATGTTTCTTCTGTTTGCTGCATTTTGCTCTATCAAGAGGTTTGTGCTTTTTTTTTTCCCCCCGTCCTTCTATCCCATTACAGTAATTTGGTAGATTTTTGATTTTTGCATAGTTATTGTTGTCTAGGGGAGTGCTGGGGATTGCTTAACACATGCTGTACCTGTGAGCTTATCATCAGCCCTTCATATTTGTTTGTTTATTTATTTATTTACCTGGGTGTTGCTATGCTGTCCATACTGGCCTCAAACTTCTGTGCTCAAGTCATATTCCTGTCTCAGGCTCTCAGGCAGCTGAGGCTACAGGCACATGCGACCATACCTGACTTTTCATAGTTACTTTAAAAACTTTATTTAGCATATGCTTATATTTTCATTTAGCAACTTGAAAAATGATGTAGGACCCATTGTCTATTATAAAATAGTGAAATTAGCTCCTTCACACTTCCTCCTACTTTTGTCCTGTCTCCATCTGCTTTTCTCAATCTTCTGGTTTTGGTTAATAAAAATAATAACTAACATTTTTGGAGTGTATGTTATGTACCAGGCTCATTTCTTAGCCCTTGTCATGGATAATCTCATTTTATTCTCCTAACAACTATGAGGTATTATTGTCATTCTCATTTTACAGAGGAGGAAACCGAGGCCCAGAGGCATTAGCTGGGCTATGGCAAGTTCTATAAGCAAGGATCTGAGGACTGTATTTATATTTCAAAGACAATTATGCTCCCTACTCCTAATCTGGTTAGGACTGGTACTGGGAACATTCGGCATGAATCATGAGTCTGAGTGGATGAGCTGGGAATTAGTTTTCATTTTCAAGTTAATGAATGGAGTCAAAGCAGGTTGTGCAGAAACCTCAGGGAGGCCCACTCACATCTTTTCCACAGACGTGTCCACTTTATAGCTTAGGTTCCTAGCATGGCCTACCATTCTCCAACCATTCTCCAAGGTGCTGTTACAGATCCAGAGCTTCCTGAGGTCATAGTCAGGGCTTGGGTGGAGCTCTGTGCAAGGCTAATCCTTGGACATTCAAGGAGGACACATTTCCTTTAACAACCAGAAAGATCCACTCTCTCGAAAGGTGCTTCCCTAAATGATTTTAACTATAGATTAACCAGCAAGTCTTTGCTTTCTTTTTGATGGAGGATAGCTAGAGAAACTGCTTTAAGGATACACGCTGGGAAAGAGAAGAACACAGGCCAAGAAGACAGGGTGAGGAAGATCACTTGTGAAAGAGCAATAGTATTTCATCAGCATCAATGTGAGATGCAACATTTTACACTTACAGTTTACCTCTGACATGTCTTGTCAGAAGATGGGGGAATGAAAAATCATAATAGGGTCAGAAGGAGCAGCTACCACCATGTAAAAGGATGGAGACTCATATACCTGTCACAAAGAGCCAAGTCCTGGCTCTGGCCAGCCTTGACAAACATCATCTTGGCACTGAAGAGCAGCTGTTTCATGATGTCTGTGAGCAGCCCCGCGTCCACCTCTGGGTTTGTGAGGCCCTTGGACAGTCTGCAGCAGTGGTCAATTAGCTGGTGACCACAGGCAACAATGTCCCGGTGCAGATTCAGGATGGCAATGCACAAGGAGGCGCTGGGAGCCTTGCCGGGTGATGGAAGGGAGAAATACACAGTGAACCCAAGGACCAGAGCATTCCCAAATGCAGCTGAATGCTGTAAATTTCCTTCTCAAAATGTAGAAAAGCCCTAGAAGACAGAGCCAAAAAGTCTACAGCAAAACTGAAGTGGAACTAAGCAAATTTCAGGTGTTCTAAGTGGCACTGCCAAAACACTGACTGCCACTGTCATTTTCTTGAACTGAAGTTCTCTAAAGAAGCCACATCTATATTGAAAGTCCTGCAGACTGTTTAGCTAACTAGAAAATTATGATTGTAGAGAGATCAAGGGCCAAAATTATGTTGGGCTCTCTTTAGTCCTTTTTTTGGTTTTACCCGGTTGGCCTCAAATTCATGATCCTCTTAACTCAGCCTCCCAAGTAGCAGGGACTGTAGGTGCACACCACTACACCTGGCTTCTTCAGGACCTTTTAATAGTCATTTATCATCGATTTCTGTATCTGACCCAACATCCTCATAACTACTAGGTAAAACTCTTGGACTATCCTAAAGCTTAGCCATCCTCTCATTCCTACCAACCCTAAAGTTAATGCTGCACAATAAAGAGTTGTGATTTGCACTGACATCTTACAGGTGCCATCTCTTCCATAAAGTTTTTTGTAGTTCTTCTTGTGCATTTCCTGAGACATTCCTTACATTCTGCCTTAACCAGTTTACTGGTCTTAGTTCCCATACTGTTGCTCAGTAAGCAAGGGAGGGCCAGGCTAGGTTCGCCTACCTCTGTATTTCTTGCCATACATATCCTAAAGAAATTTAAATAACCATGACATTTTATTGCTATTACCTGTTCATAGTAAAATTCACTCCGCACCAACTCATTTTCTTCCTTGTTCAGACTCAAAATCCATTCCACTTCAGCTTCTTTGGGGACTTTGACCACAGCCGAATATGGAAGGCTTTCAGTCTTCGAGCTGTCAGATGCTGAGAAGAGAATTGTCATTTGTGTGTCAGTTCCTGGTTGGCAGTACAGTCTGGCCTAGTCCAGTGACCTGGTGTCAATTGCTGACAGATATTGCTTCTTGTCTGAGGGTTCTTTAGCTTTCTATGATGCTTTTTGTTTCCCTTAGCAAACTCCATTAGGCATCTCAAATCTTCCCTAGACATAGACCTAGATAAACATCATAGTGTTTGTCACAATCATGTTGTTTCCCATAAGAGTACCTGAAATGTGTATGCATCTCAAATGGATGGCTGAGTCATTAGATACTCTAAAAACTAATGTGCTGATGAAGGACAGTAGCTAAAATACTAGCAGTGACTGCCTAAGGGGAAGAAGGGGAAGGAGGAAGGATTGGGTGGTAGGGTGGTGGTGAAGGGGACCTTGACAGGAAAGATTCTACTAAAAGGTAAGACCAAATTGCTGCCTTTTCAAAGCTGGAACCTAATGGGCCTGTGTGATAGGTTAACATGAACTTTAAGGGACATAGGTTGATAGGTCAAGAATTGTCTTTGGCAAATAAGTTGGCAACAGACACAAAGATAGAGCCAGTTCTAAGCATATAAACAAAGAATCACAGAAAATAGGTATTACCTTCTGGTTGGCCTGGATTCTCCTCTGGTGTACTAGAAACAGAAAGATAAATTAAATGCTTGAATCCTTCTTTTCCTCTTTAAGTGTATGGCACTGACATTTACTCATTTACTGAAGTAAGATACCAGGGAACCATCTATAACTTCTTTCTCCCCCTCATCTGTGACAGCCAATATCTCAGCATTCTGCCTCTTACACACCCTTTCACTTTTCCCACTTCTCTATATCCCTGCTTCAGTGAGGGCCTTCATTATTTATTGCTGGAGTCTGCAATTGATTCTCCATTGGTTTCCTTGACGCTGTCTACTTATTCTCTACTTTGCAGCTATAGCAAGTTTTAAAAAATGCAAACCTGGTCACATTCTGCTCCTGCTTTAAATCATTCAGTAGCTTTTAACTTCTCAGGTTAAAACTATTCTACATTCACAGTTCAGTAGACAAAGCCCTTTATGATTTGGCCTGGCTATTTCCTGAAGCCATGTCCTGCCATTCATTACCTGTGCTCAAGCTATAAAAGTTCTTTCTGTTTCACCACCAGCCCTAATACACTAAGTCCCATTGCCACAAGTCAGAGCCAAAGTCTAGTACCTGTATGAGGAACCTCCAGGTCAGCCCCAGCCAGTGACATCAGAGAGCAAGCACCAAGTTTTTGTGCCATTAAGTCCTCCCAATTCAGCTACCAGTTTTAAATCCAGGGTCCACTGACCAGCAACCCAGCCCCTCATCTACCTATGTACAGTTCCCCAAACCATCCACATTTTTCTCCTGCCTCTGCCTTTGCTGTTATTCCACCTGGGTGTGCTCTTTTTGGGATTTTCTGACTAACTCTTCATTCTCTAAGGCTGATCCTCCAGGGGTTACCTCTGAGAAACCCTCCTGACCACTGAGGCTAAACTGTGAGTGCTGCCACCAGTGCACTTACCCAATCACCTTGTGGTCTGTTTGTTGGCCATCTCCCCAGCAATATGGGGGCTCAGTCAGGGGAAAGTGATTATTGCTGAATGATTGTGGGTAAAAGAACCCCCATCTATATTAATTGACCATTTCAAATCTCAGCAGAATGGGGTATGGGTAATTTCTGTCCTCTACCTGCAGGAGGGAGGCAGTGGTATGCCAGGGTCACAGAAACTGAAGAAATATGTCTTCCTTCCTATGCCACTGTAATCACCATGGCAAATAACGATAAAAATGTTCATATTAAAATAAACACAAGCCAGGTGTGATGGCACATACCTGTAATCCCAGCACTTTGGGAGGCTGAGGCAGGAGGATTGCAAGTTTGACCCTAGCCTGGATACAGTGAGACCTTGTCTCAAAATAAAAAATTTAAAAAAATTTAAAAAAGGGCTGGAGGTATAGTAGAGGCCCTGGGTTCAATCCTTAGTGCCAGAAAACAAAACACCCCAGAAAAATGCTATTGAGCTGAATGTAAAACCATTAAATACAATAAAACATGGAGGGGCCGGGGATTTAGCTCAGTGGTTTCACCATCTGCTGTGCAAGTGCAAGGACCAAGTTCGGTCCCCAGTACCAAAAACAAAACAAAACAAAAACATGGAGAACTCAAAGTAAATTTGCTTTTGAATAGTTGCTTTGACCCATCTTCCTAGGTGCTTTAGGAGTCTTAGTTTCATGTTGGTTTGGTACTAGAAGTAGAAAAGGTTTAGTGACACTGAGCCAGTGAACATGATCTTGATCTGTCTTGTCAGAGGTATGAGCAGTTGGTGAAATGTGCAGGTGAATTATGTGTAGGAAAGTACGAGGGCTTGTCTATTGTGGGTAATAAGTCAGCATGGCTACTCAGATCAGAGCTGATGCAATTGATGCCCAAACAACCAGCAGGCGTGGACACATCCCTTTGAGTCAGATGAGACCCAGTGGCTAGAAAATAGGTAAGGGGTGAAGATCAGCGGCCTTAGACCAGAGAAGGGCTGAAGAGGCGAGTGTCCTGATTTCAGATAATACAGCATGCAAGAACTATGAACACTGCTTCCTCTTAACCCTACTTCCTCTTAGTAGTTTCTGTGACTGTTGGGGTTTAGATCTAAAATGTCCCCCCAAAAGCCCGTATGTTCAGAGGTGGGGCTTTTGGAAGTGATTGGATAATGAGGGCTCTGACTTCATCAGTGGATACATTGATGAGATCTTGCTTTGATGACACTGTTGGGAGTTGATGGACATAGGAGGCAGGGCCTAGTGAAGAGAGTAGATCATGGGGACATGAGCTTGGGAATTATATATGGTCCCTGGCCCCTTCTTCTCTGGCTCTTTCCTTTGTTTCTGCTTCCTGGCTGCCACGAGGTGAATAGCTTCCCACCACGCCTTCTGCCATGATGTTTCTGCCCTTGAGCCAGGTGACCATGGACTGACCATGGACCTCTGAAACTTGTTTGGCTCTACTGAAAAGGAGCCAAAATAAATGCTTTTTCCTTTAAGTCGATTTTCTCATGTATTTGGTCACAGCAACACAAAGCCGACTCACACAGAAACCTAGAGTTTCACTGTAGAGTTAATGGCACTGCAGAGTGAATGTTAATATTTCAGCAAAGTGTTCCAGATTTGAAACACTCTCCACAATGAGACTCCCCAAAGTGTGAGGCCCTGGGGGAGGGTGCAGTGGTCACTAAGAGTACAAGCCCTGCTGCAGGACACTCACTCTTGGTTGTAGTAATTGTAGCACTGGTCACACACGCGAGTAGGGTTCTCTCTGCAGCCTTCCACCACCATTTTCTTAGTGGAGCAGGAACTGCACACCAGCCGGCCACAGCGGCGACAATGATGACGCCTGTTAAACTGAGGAATGCCAGTGGGTTCGAAGGGAGAAGGAGGAAGTGAAGATGAGACTCCTGTTAGCCATTTACACTTGGTTTTAATCACCTGTGGCTTATTAGGAACACCAGGTACAGTGCTCAGGCCTCTGTTGAAAATGAACCTCCCAGTCCTTGCCCTCACAAAGCTGATGTTTTTTGGGGGGTTTTTTTGGTACCAGGGATTGAACTCGGGTCCTTGCGTTTGCGCAGCAGGCGGTGAAACCACTGAGCTAAATCCCTGGCCCAGGCTGATGTTTTAAGATATCACTTAGCTAGTGGGCAAAGGTTCCAAGTCATGGTCAGTTTTGCAGTCAACAGCTCCTGACCAGTTTTATTTGTGTGTGGAGGCAACATTGGAAACAGCAAAAAGTAATGAGAAAGTGACTTTCTGAGCCAGTGAGGATCACATTTTTACATGACATTGATGATGATGAAAAAGTAACCTTTTTTCAAATGTTTTAAAAAGTACTGCCTCATTTCATTGTAAGAAGTTGATAGACATCACATGCCTCCTTTATAGAAACAGCCATAGAGAAATCACATCACCACTGTTTTCATTAACACTGAGCTAATCTGCCAGGCAGATACTACACTAAGTGTGGTAACATTTGTCACTGTATTTAGTCTTAACTCCATAAGCCAATCGATTTATCATCCCTAGTTGGTAAGTGGGTACATGAGCTTGAAAAAGTTTTAGTCATATTGCTATTAGGAGGCAGATCCAGGATTAGGAAACAGGTCCTCTTTCTCCTGAGCCAGCACATGTAACCACTAGTAGCTTATTGTGAAAGATACAGGAACTAGAAATACGATCTTGACATTTGGTGTTTCCTCCTCCAATTTTTCTCATTATGTCACAAGAATTGGAAAGATTTTAAAATTTAAAGCTATTTGTGGATGTCTACCACTTAAGTCCAGAAAATACACTCTGGTAAGGTCAAAGGTGAATCCAAAGACTTAGGTTTGACAGTTCTTCTGAATATGCTGTTATCTTCTGGGGAACAGGAGATGACTATAAACTCAGGTTCTTGACCTGGATCTCTCCCTTCCTTTCCTGCAGTGATCTGAGGACACCGCCACTTACCATACTGAAGTGCTCCTTGTGACAGACCATGCAGATGCTCTCAGTCTCATCTGGCACCCACTGGTGCCTGGCAGGCGGTGTCACTGGGGGCACAAATTCCAGCAGGGGCTGACTGTGAGGGAAGCTCCTCTCCCCCGGGCTAGGTGAATGCACAATGGAGACACCTGTGATCCAGGGGTCAGAGTTAAGGGTGATCAATATTCCAGCTTAGAATGAAGAGGAAGAATAGCATCTCATCACTTTACAAAGCCCTACTGAAATAACAGATCCAGTTGATGATTATCAATGGCTGCTTCTGTCACAAAAGAGGCAATGGGACATTGTGTGCCTTTTTGGAAAGGTACAACAAAACCTATCAAATATAATTATTAAAAGATAGTAACCTGAATTAAGGCAAGCTTCTAGATTTAACTAACAGTGTACAAGAAATTCAGGGATCATTAGATTGTCAGCAGGAGGCAACCAGTTGTCAGGCATTGGTGGTTTATGCCTGTAATCCCAGCACTTGCAAGGCTGAGGCAGGAGGATCACTTTCAGTTCAAGGCCAGCCTCAACTACATAGTGAGCTCAAGCTCACCCTTAGTCAGTGACAGCTTGTCTCAATTAAAAAAAGAAAAAAAAGGGAGGCAACCAGCAAAATCCAGCATGTGGGAGGCTGTATGAGGCAAATAACCTACTTTCCTTCATAAGATAAAAGAGGTGGGGAGAATAAAAAGAAGAGGGACCTATTGATTAAAAAACATGGAAGAGATATTTGAGCCAAATGCCACACGTACACATTATTTAGATTTTCATTCTAGAAAAAGCAATCATAAAAAAAATCTTTTTGAAACAACTGGGGAAATTTGAATACTGACTGGATATTTCATAGTAATGAGGAATTATTATTCATTTGTTTTTAGGTATGATAGATATTTAAAAAAATAAAAGTCCTTCGATTTAAAATTTATACTGAAATATTTATAAATTAATGATATATGTGACATTTTCAGCAAGATAATCCAGTAGAAGGATACAGGTATAGATGAAATAAGAATGCTCATCATGAGATGATAATTATTATAGCTGGGTGATTAGTGTGTGAGGCTTCAGTATACGATTCTTTTTTTTGTATATTGCAAATTTTCCCTAACAAAAAGGTTACACACACACACACACACACACACTCTCACACATACACACACACATACACACACAAACATATGCACCTGCCAAAGTTGCTCAGGCTGCCTTATGCAGGTGCATGAAGCTGCTCATACACCTGCTGGCCTGGGTCCTCCCCTCAGGTCTGCTGGTTGTTGTGAAGCATGGCTACCGAACGCCATAGTCTTGGCTTTATAGTAACTAAGGAAATTTCATCTAGCAGACCAATTTTAGCTAGTTACAGAAAAAGGGAACTGAAAAACAAAGTGACTCTTAGGAATACCCAGAAAAAAAAGCCTTCCCACCCCCAATCCTGCTGGCCCGATCATCTAGCAGAACAACTGCTGGGCCACTTTTGAGGGTAGGCCATGGCGCAGGGGCTGGAAACAGGAGAGGCAGGGTGGTGAAAAGGCGGACTAAAATGTGGCCGAGACATTTTTTTTTGGTACTGGGAATCGAACTCAAGACCTCCCAGTTGCCAGGCAGGCATTGTGCTGCTGAGCTACATCCCTGGCCGATGACTTAGGCTTTTAAGGACCTTGTTTCTTGTGTAGGTTAACAGAATTCACACGAAGGCTAACTACAGTCAATTCTCACGATTCGAAGTTTCCATATTTGTAAATTGGGTGGTTTGCTAAAATCTATGTTAATACATGCATTGTTTCATGGTCTTTAATGGGCATGACCATAGTAGTGAAAATTTTGAGTTGCTCAGGTCTTACTTGAAACTGTGGTGATACTATGGAAGACACTTTCCATATTTGCTTCACTTCTTTCATTCTAGAATAGGCTAAGTTAGCTCATATACAAATGCTATCTGATATGATTTTGGGAATAATACTCTCTATAAGAAAAGATGGCATGTAAGAGCCCACTATATCTTGTCTCAGCTTTCATGTGACAGTGAGCAGAGAATGGAGGAGCAGGTAGTGGAAGAAGGTCTGGTTCTAGGCCCAAGTATGGAGTTAGAATCCCAATACTGGCACCCAAGAGATAAGTCAATTCTGAGCCTCCTCTTTTGTAAAATAATGGGTACAGTCTACTAGGATGAGTTTTTTGTTTGTTTTTTTGGGTACCGGGGATTGAACTCAGGACCTCATGCTGGCCAGGCAGGAGTTGTACTACTGAGCTACATCCCCAGCCCTATGATGAGTTATTTTTAGGATTTAAAAATGTAATCAATGTCAAATGTGAGTGTGTGGGGCCGGGGATGTAGCTCAGTAGTGCCGCTGCCTGCCTCACAAGCTGAAGGTCCTGAGTTCGATCTCTGGTACCAAAAAAAAAGAAAAAAATGTGAGTGTGTGTTTCCCCTTGGAGCAATGGTTCAGGATTAATTTAGTGTTTGGAGAGCCTTTATATATTATTGTAAATAATGAGTTGATTATATGTCAAATCTCCTGTGATATACAAGGCTAGAATGAACCATGACAAAAAATTAATAAAAAGTATTATAAATGTAAATGCTAAAAGAGGCAAATGAATCAGAAAATTAGAATAAAGCAAAAGTGAACTGAAGGTAATTCTCAGAACTAGTTCTTACCAGGAGCAGTAGCAGCAAACTCTGCTGATGATGATCTACATATGGTCTCAGGGTCGGAAGCCTGATGAACAATTTCCTGGAGGTGAATCACAGAATCTGTTGAGAGAGAAAATGCTGAAAAAATATTGGTCTACTGTAAGCATGTTTATTCACTGTACTAACCACTTGTTCAAAGTACTGCTGGCTTTCCTGATGTCACACCACAATTTTACCAGGCATAAAGGAAATGGCAGAGGTACTTCTAAACTAAGAATATATATGTGTCTTAAATTCCTAAAAATATAAGCTATGTTTAGGCACATGAAATAATGGAGCAGACACTAGCATTTTACAAAATAAATCTAATGGGGGCCGGGGATTTAGCTCAGTGGTTTCGCCACCTGCTGTGCAAGCACAAGGACCCATGTTCAATCCCCGGTACCAAAAAAACCAAAAAAAACCCAAAAAAATTTGGGCCGGGGATTTAGCTCAGTGGTTCCACCACCTACCTCGCAAGCGCAAAGTCCCGAGTTCGATCTCGGGTACCAAAACAAAAAACAAAAAACAAAATAAATCTAACAATGGCCAGAGGAAAGCAGAAGACCCTTTCCATACATATTTCGTTTCTTTCATTCTATAAGGGGCTGTGTCAGCTCACATACAAATGCTATCTGATGTGACTCTGGGAATAAAACATACTCTCCATAGAAAGGATGGCAAATAAAGAGTCTACTATATCAAAGCTAGACAGAGATAATTTCCAGTATATTTGGTTCTCCAAGCCTTTACGTTGTGATGCACACAATGATTATCGTCCTTCAATTCTGGTTAGCCTCCTACTTCTTTCAAGACCAAGATATATAAGAAAGGCCTATCTCCTATATAAGAAAGCATTATCTCTCCTGAAGTATACTCCTTTCACTCTTGATCAACCCAAAATAATAAAAAAGGAGAAAATTAAAACTAAGAATGCAGCATGGTATTTCCCCTCCATATAGAATAGGCATCTAGGATGCTAGAAGTTACCTGATCGTTTCTCCCTCAGAGGGTACGGGAGTTCCAGGGCTTTCCCTGCATATCTGGACAGCAGTGAGTCAACATCATCCATGGTGAAGCAAATCTCCTGTCCAGCCAGCAGCTGGTGCAGGGTCTGCACGGCCACAGTGGCCCAATCCACTTTCATGTTCATCAGCAACTGCTCCAACATGAGCAAGGGGTTGGAGGACAAGTGGGAATAGCTGGCCCGGTGCTGCTCAGGCAGGGTCAGTAGAACCTGTTTGTGGAATAGATCCACAGAGTTAAGAAAGTAGTTCATACATTTCAGAAGAAACGTGAGGTTCTAACTGGGAAGGGGAAGAGTGCCAGAGGTCAAAAGGCCCATAGTGCTACAGCTACTGGCTAGGATTCTCTTAGAAAGCAAGGCTGAATTCCCTTCCATCGAAATCCTGCAGGTGGCAATCAAGAAGTATCTCTAGTACCTTCACATAGTCAAGGGGTTGGATGGGCTGGGGAATCTAGCTCAGTGGTGCCACCACCTGTCTCGCAAGCACAAGGTCGTGAGTTCGATCCCCGGTAGCAAAAACAACAATAACAACAACAACAATAAAAACCCAAAAAACAAAGGGGTTGGTAATCTTTTTCTATCAAAGGTCAGATAGTAAATATTTTAGGTTTTAGGACCCATAAAACCGTTATGCTCTGCCAATGCAGTATGAAAGCAAATATAGGCAAATATATAAATGAATGGACATACCTGTGTTCCAAGAAAACTTGATTTACACAAACATGCTGAAGACTAGATTTGGCCAAGAGGTGGTAGTCTGCTAACCCCTGGCCTAGACTCTCCAGGCATGGCTGAACTTTATCTGATCCTTAATGCCACCATTCTGTCCAAGTTAGGCTTTACTCAGAATGAGTAACACAAGGTGATGTCAGAGGCTGCCTATACCTGGTACCTCTAGTGTCTTATAAGCAAATCATGAATCTAACGATCACTAGGATTGAAATAGGTTCACTGGTTCTGTTCTGCTCACTACCAATTTTTAAGGGATTCCCCCACTTAGGTACAGTGCATCAAAAAAAAATTTTTAAAGGGTGTATCTTCTTACAGCCAAGTGCTTATATTCATGGCTTCACTAGCACTTGTTCTATTTGTGTTTTGGGAAAGTATTATAACTGTGAGGCAGAATCATTAGAAGAGTGAAAGAGAATCCCCCCTCCCTTTATACCCTCCTTCATTGGATTACTTTTTAGCTTGTAATTTCTTTTATTAGTGTTTCCCAGTTTATATAGCAAAGTTAAGGATTGATTACTTTGTCTATTATTACCAAGACAAATTAACTCTTTTCTATTAGTACAGATTAGTTTAGCAAGCAGTAGTTTTAAATTCGCATACCAGGATCCCTTTGCAAGATATTCAGTCCCTATCCCAAGACAAGTTTTAACTGGTTTGGGGTGGAGGTCAACTACAGGTATTTTTAAGAGTCCAAGTGAGGGTCAGTCATGGTGGTGCATGCACCTGTAATCCCAGCACTCAGGATCCTGAGGTAGGAGAATGCCATGAGTTCAAGGTCAGCCTGGGCTACAAAGTGAGTTCAAGTCCAGCCCGAACGACACAGCAAGACCCTGTATTAACCCTCCCTAAAAGTCCAGGTGACCCTAAAATATGGTCAGAATTGAGAAGCAATAACAAAACAGGTACCATGAAAAAGTTAAGAACAATTTGAGAAGCCCAGGTAAAATTCTCTTTGGAGGCAGGACAGTAAGTATGACAAGTTCTAGAAGACTCAACTAGGATATGGTGGGCTTCTAGGTTAAGATTTTATATATAGCACAGGCAAAGGATGCCAGACACTTGGCAGAAAAGCCACTGAAAGAGCAGGTGGTAGGGGCTCAGCGGCACCCCTATCAGGCATGCTTTCCCCAAAGCCACTTTCTTCCTTACCTTGGATCCCATGTAGAGTGCCTGGATTTCACTATGTCGAACAGAAGTCAGTTCTCCATAGAAGTGACTGGTGAGGTAGTTGGCCAAGAAGTGTGAGGTGTACAAGCTAGGGTGCTGGTCGAGGGACTGTTCTGTGACTTCAAGGCACATGGTGGGGTCAGGGATTCTTCGTAGGAGCTGTTGCAGGAGAAGGGTAGAGGAGGTGAGGCCTGCAAAAAGAACTCTCAGGCCAGCCTTGTTTGGTTTGAGAAAGGAATACTTAGGTGTATTCATTTTGGGCTAATCCTTTCTCTATATTCATTAATCACTAACTCCATTGTTTCAGAAAAGGAGCTATAGCTTTGATAGGACCAGAGTTGAGCATAATTCTGGACCCAGCTGCTCCACCTAGAACCTAATGCACAACTGAACACCTTCTACTCAAGATGACTGTAACTGACCGTGAAGGACACAAAGGAGGAGATCCTTGATTATAAATACGTTACATGGGATTCGGTATGAAAAAAGCCACCTTCTTTTCCTTCCCCAAATGAAAAATGGGAAGAATCAGAAACTTACCTGCAGAGCCTTTTCATGGTCTCTTCTTTCCAAAAGGTGGAGAAGATGCTTCTGATGTAAGCTGATTAAATGTTCCCTTGGAATGGGGTATAGGCAGCCCCAGTCCTCACACAGCTCATACTCCTGTAAGGAAACACAAATGGCTTCAACTCCTTCAAGTTACTGGCTTGTCACTTCTCTAACTTTTGTCTGATTTTTCTCAGCAGTGTTAAGTCTGCTAAGCCCCAGGAACATTTGGTAAGTACAGAACTGATGGGATTACAGTGAGATCATAAATAAAGGACTAGAGTAGCAAGGTAAGGTATGAGAATGACTGAAGCAGGCTGATACCAATTTCATTTTCCGCTTTGCTCTACTATAAGGAAGGGAAGCAGATGCCATATGGTGACTGTGTATCAGCCCTGGAGAAATGCTAAGGGAATGGAAAAACTGAGAAGACTGTTTAGTGGAGACAGCACCTACTCAACTCTTGACTGTAGCAGCATGAATGTGACAACCTAATGTTGTCAGACTCCACCATCCCCAACTCACGAACTCTACATTAAAGTTTCAGAGGATGGAATTCCAAGGACTTGGTCCAAATATTCCAACATGATGGTATACGTAATGCTCTTCCCACACCTCTGCCTGGGCTACCTTCTTCTGGATTCTTTAGTTCTCAGGCTGCGTCAGTGCCCTGCCTGAGCTCCCATGATCTGTCACCTGACACATTATATTGCAATGGCCTTAGGATGCATCTTACATCACTCCTCTCTCTGAAATGTGTGTCACTCCAGGGGAGGGACTGAAATTAATTATCTTTGCCTTACCACCACCTGGCACAGTAAACACTACACTCAGTAAACGTTTATTAAATGAATGAACATGTGAAAGAACATTAACATTTTGAACTATGGCACATCAGCTGCCAAAAGGTAGATAAAATTCTAGTTAACACTCAAATGGCCAATAAACAGAGGACAGACATTCACATTCATTTCTAACCATGAATACAAAAATTGAAACAATGGGATACCATCCTATTTTGCCATCCTTGGCAAAATGTGAAAAGTTGGACAATATAAAAAGTTGGCAAGGATATGGAGCAATAGGAAATGTGAAAAATTTCCCTTCTAGGTATACATTCTGTACCTAGTACACATTTTAGAAAAATGTCACATAAATGCAGGGGTCATTGTACAAAAGTGATATCTGTAATATCCTCTACCTTTACCTCTATGTTGGTGTTACAGTTTGGATCTGAAATGTCCCCGCAAAGTCTCATGTGTTTGGAAGGTGATTGGACCAAAGGGTGCTACACTCATTGGCTGATTAGTCCTCTGATGGATTCACAGTTCATATGCTGTTAGGAGGTGGGGCCTGATCAGAGGTGGCTCACTAGGAGCGTGACATGGAAGGGTGGATCTCTCCCTGGCTCCAGCTTTCTCTTTCTGCTTTCTGGCTGCTAGGATATGAGCAACTGTCCTCCTCTAGGCCTTTCCCACATGTCATTTCTGCCCTGGACCCAGCAGACCATGGACTGTAACCACAAGCCAAAATAAACTTCTCCTCCTTTAAATTGTGGATGATGGGTATTTTGTCCCTGCAACAACAAAATTGACAAAGACAGTTGTCAAATTTCACAATTAAGGAAAAGGAAAAAGAATGTGGCATAGCTATAAAAATGTGCATACTAATACACAGAAAGGAACCCAGACAATCAGTTAAAGAGTTGCAGCCCTAAAGGAGGATGAAAAAGGAAATGGTACCTGTGCTTCTAGAATCAAGCTCATGACAGAGGATGGGTCTGCAACACAGCAGCTCCTTAGGGTCTGCCAGTCACACCATGCTGGAGGTTCCTGCAAGCCTAGAATCTAAGATAGGAAAATTAATCAAATCACATGACTGCTTCTCCCTCGTGAACAAGTCTCTGATGTTTCAAGGGATCTCTGCCCCAAGTCAGGCTATCAGACCCTGCCAGGAAAGAGGACAAAGACAGCAAATGGGCCAAAGACTGTTTCACGAGGAGAGTGAAGTTCTCCAGGAAGTAACATCAGGGAGCAAAGGCTGAATGGGAGGCCAGGATCAGGGCCTTTCACTAGTATGGTGAGTTTTCAGAGGCCTGAAGCTTGTCCATCTTAACCCATAAGATTCTTTTGGCTTGAATGGTCTATGAATCACTTTTCTTGCAGCATTTTAGCTTTGCATGAAAATTGCTGAAGAGGTGTGAAAAGAAAAGCCCTTTCTTCTGCCATTTTCATTTTCCCTCATAAGGCTCTAAACTGTTCTGTTCCAAGGACCCAGGGGAAATTAGCATATATTATACACATATGTGGCTGAGCCGCCTGAATTTGTCTCCCTAAGCCTCTTCAGCTTGGATGTAACAAGCGTACCACAAGAATCTTTCACTTTTGAAATTGTCACAGCCATGCACCCTTTCAAAATGACTCTTAAAATTTAGTTGAAATTAAGTCTTTAAGAGGTCATATACACAAAACATACATGGAGCTCAAATATACATATGAAACCTTTAAGGACTGCAGAACACCATTCTGATGTTAATTTTGTTATTATTATCCTTGCTTGATGCAAATGTATTTAAAATAATAAGAGTAAATAACACAGAAGCCAGACAAGAGGCCTTCTCTGTTCATGTAAAAATAGAAGCCTAATGCATAGCAAAAGCCAGGTCTACATTTCTGTTTCTTTTCTTTCTTTTTTGGGGGTGGGGTACTGAGGATTGGACACAAGGCCTTTGCAATGAGTCCTTGTTTTCTCTCTCTCTCTTTTTTAGTTTTTTGAGATAGGGTCTTGGTATGTGGTTCAAGTTGGCCTTGAACTATGTAGCTTTGCCTCAAACTCATGGTGATCCTCCTGCCTCAAGTCTCCTTAGTGGGACTGTGCCACCATACCTGGTTTATTTTTGCTTTTTAAATTCTGAGACAGAGTCTATCTAAAATTTAGTAGCTAAATTGCTTTGTCTGGGCTCAAATTTGGAATCCTTCTGCCTCAGCCTCTCCAAGTGCTGAATTACAGGCATGCACCACCAACATGTGCTTCTTAAAATATTCCATGATATGAGGTTAGGCTGAGGTCTGTCACAGGGTAGAAGCCTGTTTCCCTCTCTTGATGCTGGGGCCCATACCTTCTGATATACTTGAAACTCCACCTGCTTCCTCTGCAGCTCAGACTTTAGTCCTTCTTGGACAGCTGTGTCTGAAATGCAGTAGGCCAAGATCTCCAGGCATGACTCCAAGGGCCACCGATCCAAAAACCGTAGGGCCAGCTGACTTCTCAGAGATGCATCCTTCACAGGAAACAGGTATTGCCAACCTTCCTTGTCTACAAGACAAAAAAGATGGGCCAGGGATTTAGCTCAGTGGTGCCACCACCTGCCTTGCAAGCACAAGGACTTGAGTTCAATCCCCGGTACAAAAAGAAAAAAAAAAAAAGATGCCCAGAGGCAACAAACCTAACATTGGAAGAGTTCAAAACCCCAAGTTACTTTTTTTTTTGGAGGTGGGAGGGGTACAGGGGATTGAACTCAGGACCAGGGGATTGAACTCAGGACCTTGGACTTAACAGGCAGGCGCTCATGCCGCTAAACTAAATCCCTGGCCCCAACACTAAGCACCCCCCGGGTATCAGGGATCAGGACCTTGCACTAGCAAGGCAGGTATGGTGCCACTGAGCTAAATCCCTGGCCCTCCAAGTTACTTCTTAAGAATGGCTCTGTTTGATCTCAAAACAGGAGCTTGGAAGATCTTTAAATTCCACGTGACTTTAACTGTTTTTTACACTTGGAACTAGTATATGACAAGGAGAGATCCTATGTGTTTCCTATATAAATCTGATCATAGTCACAGAACCTTCAGAAGGGAGGAGGAAGGAAGGACAAAGGAGAGGAGAGAAAAGGAAGGGAGGGACTCTGCCATGAGTCAGCATGTTTGGCATGCTGCGTGTATAGTACTCTCAAATTCATCAGCGTCACTTTAGTTTTCCCTGAAATTTCCACTCTGCATCACATATATCCACTTGAAAGTTATTTTAGGTAAACAATTTCTTTCTCTTGATATTCTGTCCTATTACTCAGTAGATCTCTCTCATATCCATTTCTTTGATATAATCTTGGAGTTACAAAAACAGACTCCAAGCAATTATGACTACAGCCTTTCCACATTCTTCAGGAAGGATTTTCTACTTTCTGAAGGGCAGTCGCGCCTCCTACATAAAAGCCATTCCTTCCCTCCAACACACCCTACTCTTGCTCTACCCTGGGCAGTGTCATAGGTCACTAGCTTTCCATTCTGGTTACATATCAAAATGTCCTGGGGAGCCTTCGTATGTATGGGTGGTGGGTATCAGGAACTGAAACCAGGGCCTTCATACTGAGTTACATCCCCAGCCCTTTTTTATTTTGAGGCAGGGTCTCACTAAGTCACTAAGTTGCCAGGCTGGGATCAAACTTGTGAAATCTCTTGCCTTAGCCTTCCGAAGTGCTGGGATTGCAATATGCACTATCACTCTGGACTTCCAGGGCAGTTTGGCCTGGCCCTCACTGGTGGACAGTTTGCCCACACCGGTCCGTGGTTTGTTTTGTAAATGAAGTTTCATTAGAATATAGCTATGTTTACTCCTTCATGCATTGACCACAGCTGCTTTCATGCTACAGTGGTAGAAATCAGTGGTTGCAATAAGGATGGCATAGCGTACAAAGACTTTACAGAGTTTGCTGACCCCTGTTTAAAAGTGATCCCTAGCTTCATCTCTTATCTTGGGCTTCTCAGGGCGGTACCCAGATTACTTGTTGTTTGTAGAATTTTAGAATGGTTCTGATATGCAGGACTGAGAATGCTGGTCACTGGTTATGAATGCCCATTCTAAGGTCAGATAGAGTTGGGTTCTAAGCTCTACTCACCACTTAGCATTCTGGGCAAGTTCTCTGACTTCTCTAAGCCTTGGTCTCCTTTCAGTAAAATGATATTACGTGGCATTTTTCTCTAGAGTTAATTATGAGAATTAAATGTAATGATAAACTCATAGTGAATGCTAAATATTATCATTACCACTAGCGAAAGAGAGAGATGTGGCTTTCTGCTCACCACATGCCACTGCACAGCTCAGGACCGCATCCCTTATGTTGCTCAGATCGTCCACATCTCGCCCGTACACTTCAATGAGCTGAAGGGCCCGGGGCCAATCTCTGGCCACAAGAGCTTCCTCAAAGGCTTCAGTCAGCACGTCCACGGCAAGGGGAGAATGCAGGCCCAGGAGCACAATAGAGAGCTTGGTCTGACCACACAGACTGGCTGTCAGGCTCTTTCCCTGTTCGGAGGACCCACACAGGGGCTCCCAGGCAGCCAAGAGGGAGGCCTCGAGCATAGGGAACTGTTCCAGGAGGTGCTCACACTCTCGGGCTATCTGCCCTGCAGTTAGAGGCACCTCCCTGCGTCCACGCAGCTCCTTCCATGACAAGCTGGGCTTGCTGACCTTTGACCCCTGGGAAGCCCCAAGGCAGGCTACTGTAGCCAGTAGCTTTGAGCAGGATTTAAGGAAGGCCAAGGCAGAGGAGGTGAGGGCTGGGGGTGATGAGTCCTTTGGGTAGGAGCAGTGCTTCTTCTCCAATGTGGGATTTTCGGTTGGCCTAGGGGAGCTCAGTGCAGAAACGGGAAGGTCATTCAGGAAGTGAGAGGTGTACTTCTGGGCCAGGACACCCAGGTGGCTCAGGAGGGATGATGTCTGCTGGTTTTGCAGAGAGGAGCAAAGAGCAAGAGGCTCACTGCAGCAGTCGATGATAACTTGTGGCACACTTAGGCTGAGACCCTCTTGGGCCAGAAGGGCTGCTAGCCTGGAGGGAGAGAAGCAGAGGGAATGCAGGACCTGAATACATGGACATCATCAACCAATCTTCCAATTTCTTTATGTTTATACAGCAAATGTAAATGAAAACAAGCAATTGTTGTTCCCCGCCCCCCGCCTCCTTTTTTTGGGCAACACTGGAGATTAAACCCAGAGCCTCACACATGCTAACTAAGCACCTACCTGAGCTGCATCTCCAGCTGTCTCTTTTTAAGACATGCACTCATGCATTCACGCATACACACACACACACACACAGACACACACACACACACACACACACACACACACACTAGCTTATTAGACATACCTGCCCTGTGCTTACTAACATATCTGGGAGATTTATCCTTACCCTCTACAGAGAGGATCATGATTTTTTATAGCTACTGAGCATTCTGTTATGTGGATTAACCATAACTTATTTTTTTTTTAATTAGTGGACAGTGGGATCTTCTGATCTGTTCTACATACATCACTTTTCATATAAGTTCCTCAACATGGATTGCTAGATCAAAGGGTATATAAATTTATAACCTTGATATTAACAAATTGCCTCCCCACAGAGGTTATACCAGTTTATATCCCACTAGCAATCCCTGCTTATTATCCTACAGCCTACTCAACTATTGTTATCAAACTTTTGCACTTTTACCTATATGTAAGTAAAGATTCATCCATTAATCTCATAGTTGCAATGGATGTGTTAGCAGTGGCAGGAGAAAAAAAGAAATACTGAATTTTAATGTATTGTATGGAATAAATGCACAGTAAGAACCAAGTATGGAAAAATCTCCACTCTCTATAGTGACCCCAAGCACAACCCCATGAGGTTTTGTTGATGAAGAAATCCACCAGCTCCCTTGGGGGTGCTTCCTACCTGTCTGGGGGAACTTGTCTCTCAAGCAGGAGATGTGACACAAGTTGGGAAGGACTCTGTTGCAGCACAACAAAGGGATTTCCTACCTTGACCTCCACGTGCTCTGCAAAGGTAAAGAAAGTGTTTATGACACTGACTGTAACAGTTCAGAGCCCTGTTTCCCAGGACCAATAAAAAAGTACATGAAGACAACATGGAGAGCTAGGTAAAGGGTATTCTGACATGATTCGTGCTAGGTAAAGGGTATTCCCAACATGACCCTGCCCACAAGTTTATCTACAGTTTACCACTGTTTTAAAGATCTCCAACTTAGACAAATCCAGTGAGCAGGTCCAGCCATAGGGAATTGACTCTTACTTCAGCCTGAATGAACTGCATGCTATAGAGGTTGAGTATCCCATATCCAAAATACTTGGGACCAAATGTGTTTTGGATTTTGGAATATTTGCATATACATAATGAAATATCATGGGAAGGGGATCCAAGTCTAAATATGAGATTCCTTTAGGTTTCTTTTACACCTTATACACATGGCCTGAAGGTAATTTTATGCAACATTTCTAGTATACCTGTATTTTAACTATAACGTGTCAAATGTGGAATCTCTCACTTACATCATCAGGTTGGCATGCAAAAAAGTTTGATTTTGGAGTGTTTAGAATTTCAGATATTCAAATTATTTATGCTTCCCCTGTACTTGTTCTATGCACTCAAATAAGAATCTGGTACTAAAGTTAAAAAAACTCGATTCCTCTATTGGGTACTCAAATCCACAATGGACCCAAGGTCTGGCAGAGATATTTATGAGTTACTAATCTCATGAGATTTTATTGAGAACTTCCATGTGCTATACAACTACACTTAGCATAACAATGCATAAAATGGAAAGAGATGAGTAAGAGAGGAGAATCTTACAAATCTGATATCCTCGGCTATTGCTAAATCAAGAACCTCTCTTTTTTTTGGACGGGGAATTGAACTCGGGTCCTTGTGCTTGCGCAGCAGGCGGCCAAACCATTGAGCTAAATCCCCGGCCCTTTCAAGAACCTCTTAATAGTCCACCATTCTTCTTCATTACTCTATATATTTTCAGGCCAGTTCTGACTTCTATTTCCTGTTTCTTGTTACTTACCAGGCTCAGAGCTCAAACTCTGAAGGAGAACAGCAGCCAAGGTGCTACAGTAACTGAAGAAGGTGCCCACGTAGTTAGTCTGTCTGCTGCCTGCTGAGGTCTGTTTGCCCAGATTCTTCTGGAGGAGCTGAGTCTGGATGTACACAGGGTGGGCTTCTGCCTCAGGAGCTTTCTGGGATGCCTGCTCCACCAGGGAAGAAAGCGGAGTATTCCTGGGCTCTGAGAGGGGTTATGGTATGGGAAGGGATACAGGCTTTAGTCTTTATATTCAGAACTGAGTCAATTTCTGAGCCAGTATGTAAAACTAAGGCTTCTGTATACTGCCTGGGGTATCATGTAGTTTGCATGCTACACTTACAAGGGAGACATAAAATCCAAATTTGGTTATTTGGAGAAGCGATTCTCGGCCAGGAAGGACTTTGAGTCTGAAGAAATCAGAGCATCAAGTTGGGTTTTCACTCTGGGCCTCTAGGGTGAAATAGCTTTATGAAGAGTACAGTAATCTCTTGGGAAGGGTTGATCAGTATTTACGAAGTACCTGCTGGGCATACTTCTCAACAGGAATGAGAACATGTATCAGCTAATGGAGGGTTAGCTATCCTTTTGATTAAGAGGAGTGGGGTCACAGGTGAAATTCAGTTCTGAGCTGTGCTCTGGCTGACTGTAGGGGTGCTGAGCCCAGTCTGCAGATCTAAGTGTCAGCTGCAAAGTACTCCTCACTCTCAGTTGTTTCCTCTCCCAAGCTTGGCCCTTATCTGTATGTCTGTTCCTGAGCAGACAGCCTTGTACCTGGCAGCGTTAGCACCTCTCTCAGTGACTGAAGGACCTGTTCCAGCTGCTGGGAGAGGGTGGTGTGCCTGGCAACGCAGTCCTCAGTCAGGCTGGGCCAGCACATCTGAAGCAGCTCGGTGATGCTGCATCGGGGAGAGGCTCCTCCCTTTTCTTCTATAGTGTCTTTGGAAAGCAGAAAAGAGACAAAGTCAAGGCTGTTGCCCACCTAATGGTCCAAGTCAAGAAGGGAAAGGGTAACTTACCTGATTTAGCTTGTCCGGCTGACAAAAGTGGATAATTAAGAATCTTGTTAATTTGCTGAAGAACAACTGGAAACCCTCGAATGCCATCAGCATTGGGGAGTACTTGGTCTAGCTGCCGACCTAGAGATACATGAAACAAGAGGGAATGCAAAAATATGAGGTATTTCCAGGCAGTGATACTTAGTATTTTAATATCTTCTGCAATTTTACTTCTCCAATATTAAGGATGAAATGCATGTTGTGCCATATTGGGTGACCACCTGGGTTTGGCTATCAACAGCAGCAGATTCAGAGTCTGACACTACTAAGGAATCTGCTGCCCTGACCAAATGGGTAGTTCTTATAGATTTGCCCTAATACCACCCTCAGCCATGGACTTGAACTGGGATCATATCTTTCTTCTCTAATTGCCTAAGTCTCTCTCCATATACCTCTACCTTCATATACCTGATTCCTCTAAGAGTCCATATATACAGTTTGGGACATTATTAACCCGAAGGAATGATTCCTCCTCCAATTATGCTCCACTGGTTTCAGGTTTTTGGGTAAATACGTTTACTCAGGATGGGGCATAGTCTAAAGACAAAATTCTATTTGTTCCTTTTTGTAAAAAATGTAGATTGTTTATTTAGCCCTTTATACTAGGGATTGAACCCAGGTCCTCAAACATGCTAAGCACATGCTCTACCACTAAGCTATACCCCTGGCCCTCACTTTTACCAATTTTCAATGTATGCTGCTGCCTTGAATGTAATGATAAACCAGAAAAAAATTTTCCCAAATGACTCCATCCTGCTATGCCTTCTAAGAACGCGACACTTTCAGCAGACTCTATTTATGACATCAGATTAGACATGAGTGCATATAACTAGTAAAATTTTTCCTTGTTCTCCTTTCCCTACAAACAACTTTCTTACACAAATTATCATATCTCTCAAGAGGTTGGTGCCTCAGCTCAGAATGACAATAAAAGGCTAACAAAGCCTACTCACCCCGGCTCTCCAGGCTACTGTTCAGACGCCGTTCAGCTGTTTCCAAGAGCTGCTTGCAGGTTTTCCAGAGCTGGCACTGAGAGCAAGCTAAGTCAAATGCAGCCATGGCGGGGGGACTAAGGTCTTCCAGAACCTCTTGCAGGGGAGTGTTGGGCTCTGCCAGAGTGGTGCTTATCCAGAAGTCCTCCTGGAGTGTGGGGATGGGGTCTCCAGAGGTGCTGAGAAGCTTGTCGGTCACATCAGAGATGGAGTAAAATACCATCCCTGGACACCCGGCAGTGAAGTAAAAAGCTAAGGGTTAACATAACTCTATCACTTTTATTATGAGAACTAGTTATTTTAAAAATGTGGTTTCTCTGCACAGAATCTATGTATATCAGCACCGCCACTATAGCCTATCCTATTGCATCAAAACAAAGGGATGAGAAGGAAGACCGAGAGAAACTCAGAATGGTCAAGATGAAGGAAGCCTTTTTCCAAACAGGATGTAAAAGCAGGCTCAGAAAGAAAGAAGTGGATCTGTGAATTCTGATCAGAAAAGATCTCTAAAATACACTGCCAAAAAAGCAAGGTAGACAACAGTATTTGTTGCAAGAGTTCATTTACAACAGAAATACAAAAAGGATGTGCCTGTATTTTTTTATGTAGGCATGCAAAATTCTTGGGAGGATATATAAGGAACAGCATGTGATGGTAACTTGATATAAAAAGCCTAGACCAATAAGAGATGTGAAAATGTGGGACAAGATTCCACTTTCAAGAAATAATGAAAAGTGAGCTTTTGGGCAGTACAGCTACAGCTAAGACTTGAGACATGTGGATCTCAGGCTATAGATGTCAGTACACAACTAATTCACTTTAGGAACAGTAAAATAACATGCTTTATTCCTGAATAATCACATGAGAAAGAAACTCCCACCACTTCTTGAAGCCTGAGATAGTGGTCACAAAATGCATAGTAGTCATAACTCATGCTCTATAGTATTCACAGAAGCCAAGCTTACCGGAGCGGCTCCAGTGCCAGGTATATGAACACCTGGACAGGGAGGTTGGATACAGCTAGAATACTCTGAATGTGTCAGGATTCCTGCTTTCCAAGATAAATGTCTTGCTTTACATTTCTGCCTGCTATCATGAAGAGCCTATGATTTCAGTGGCTTCTCCTCTTACACCTCTCACCCCCAGCTGCTACCCTACTACCTATGGTGGCAGCAGAGAAGCCTGACCTGCAGCTGCAGCATTGCCAATGGCCTGTAGAGTTGAACAGCCACTGCCAGTTCTTCGAATGGTGCTGTTAGTGCCATCTGAGTTCTGGTTTTCAATCTTGTGCTCCACTCGGGCCAGCTCCTGGATCACTTCCTGGTAGTGCTCCACAAACATCAGTTCCCCTGCACTAGGTGAGGACTTTAGGTTGAACATGAAGACCACCTGCCATGGAAAGGGGAAGAGTGTGGCTGTGGTGAGCCCACCGAGTCAGGGAATGTAGAGAGAGAGGAAGTCTGGCCAAATCATTAGACTATGGCTCTAAGATATTTGCTTTGTAGGGTCAATAAATGTACTTATAAAAGTATATAAAATATGAAAACAACTCATAATTCTTAATTGGTCAGTAAGAAAACTGTCAGAGGCCCAGTAAAAGATGCAGACAATTTCGGAAGAAATACTTATAACTAGTACAGACACAGGAAAATGTTTGGCCTTATCAGTAAGCCAAGAATTTAGGCAACAAGATTATTTTGCATCTAAAACAATAGCAAAGTACAAAAATGAATCCTCACGGAGTAGTGTATAGCTAAACTGCCACAACTGTTTTGAAAAGTAGTTTACTAATAAACTATAAAGCTTGAAAAATGTCTTTTTTTTTTCCTTTGGTACCAAGGATTGAATTCAGGACCTTGCGCTTGCTAGGCAGGTGCAGCGCCACTGAGCTAAATCCCCAGCCCTAAAAATGTCTTTTGATGCAGTAGTTTTTTTGTGAGGAACTTTTGAAAGGAATTAATCCAAAAGAGTCTATGCTTAAAGGTGATCATCTTGGTACATTACAACTATAACGAAGTTGAAAATAATCTAAATGTTGGTCAAAAGAAAAATGGTTAAATGCTACTTGATCATACTATTATAAGGTCCCTAAAGTCAAAATTACAAGACAAATGGTTATATTATAATATACAAAGTACAATGTAAAGTTTAGATTCAAAATAATTTCAGCTATATGAAGTCATTTGTATTGGAAAAATATCGGCCAAAAATACCAAGTATCTTTAATGTTGGTTGTTCCATACAATAAGTTTAAAAGTAACTTTATTTTCTTGCTAATATTTTTTGTTATTTTTGTATAATATGTACAACTTGTTCTATAACCAGGTTAAAAAAATCAAGATTTTATTTAAAAAAAAAGTCAAGGCTGGAGGAAAGGTCAAGTGGAGAGCATTGAGAGGTAAAAGGAGTCATGGGACTCCCAGACAATTTCCTTTATGTTTGGGTTTAAGAAAGGCTGGGGAATAACAATAACAACAAAAATTCAAAAAGCCAAATTTTAGGACTGGGTATATAGCTAAGTTGTGGAGTGCTTATAGATATATGCCAGGCCCTGGGCTCCATCCATAACACCACAAAAACAAAATGACATAAAGGAAGGTTGGGGAAGGTCCCATCTTCCCAAAGAATCATAATTATCATTATCATTAAAGTAGGAGATCTAAATGATTAGTGGAAGCATTTAAATTTTTTTTACTTTGAGACAGGATCTTGCTAAATTGCCCAGACTGGCCTCCAACTTGACCTTTTGCCTTAGCCTCCCAAGCAGCTGAGGTGGGATTACACATATGGGCCATCATGCCCAAGAAGAGCCCGATTACAGCTGTAGTGCTATTTTTCCTCTACACCATCAACATTGTAGTTTGCAACCCTCTCTACTTCTCATATATTGGCCTGGCATTATTACTGAAAATTGTCTGCATGACGATTTTTAAACTGTATGAAAATGTGGACATGATCCAAGACTGGGCACAAGAAAAGAAACAAAAACATTTCAATGATTTGAAGTGGTGAAACTGTGGTTAAATATTTTCTTTTACCTTGTCAAGACACCGTTTATGTTAAGAATACAAACTATTCAACGTCTCTGCACCTGCAATGCTGAGGACTGGATCTGAACACATGGAAACTCCTTCTGCCTCTCCTCTCAGTGTTGCTCAAGTGCTCCTGAGTGGCTCTGGTGTCTCACGCATCGAGCTTTCCTCGAGGCCCAGTGTGTGACAATCACTGAGGGTCTGACTTCGCACTGTTTACTATGACAAGGTGCAGCTGAGGCTCCCCTTACCTGATGGGCTTCTGAAAAGTTCCCCCGGAGGATACAGGATGCGAGCAGTGACTCAGGTGGGGAGAACATCATGGGGAGGAATGCACTTTGAGGTTGGGGCTGCAATCGGCTGTCCAGCTCATTCTGCCCAGACACAGTGGCCAGACTGCCTTCTGTTAGAACACAAGGACATGGGGTCCAGAGAAGCAAGAGAAACTGAGGAAAGACCATACTGCTGCTACCTACAACTACACTCTTACCTTCTCATAATCCTTCTCTAAAAGTTGTACATGGGTCTTGATTTTTCCTCAAGTGAAGTGCTAACCTATGCTATCATCGCAGAATATGAGACACGTACAGTACCAATCACCTTTGTTGGGTAATCACATGTTTCTCTCTGCTGATGGGCTCAACTGAGGGTGAAACAATCCAGTCCCCTTTTCCAGCTGAAATCTGTTTGGCTATATGCAGCACCAATTTTCTTAAACACAGGTTTGAATTTGGCAGCTATTTGGAACCTGCATACCTGAAGTACTTGTGCTCAGTTCACTACTCGTACTTTCCAGGGATGGGTTGGAGCTTCTGTCCCGGCCATCTAGAAGTATCAGGAAGAAGAGAGAAACTCAATCAACTTCTTACATTGCAGAAAGTGCAAGCTGGCCTGGAAGTTAAGATCCAGATAGAGTTAAAGGATAATGGGCACACATGCTGTTCTTTCAAAGGCAAAGGGTAAATTTAATGTGGCCCCAGGGCTCACTTGGGTTGTAGCCTATACCACTGGTTCCAACTTGTGAGTCTTACAGCCTTAGGAGCTTCCCAGTTATTTCTAGGGGTCAATGGCTACCATCTGTTCAATAAGTATTGAGAATAGTCTGAAAAAACAAAAATCACAGCTATTATGACCCCGAAGCAACAGGATACAAAGGGTCCCAACATTTTCTGACATAAAGAAAAGGGTATTCTCAGACTTGAAAAGGTAGGGAACTAAAGTATGAGGCCTAGTCTGGCAAAGACCACCACATTCAAAGGCCCAGAGGAAAAGCTTTCATCAGCTAGCTTTCCTGAAGTGCTAGGGCTTGCCAATGGAGACTCACTGTCCTTTAGTGTGGTCCTTGAGGGCTGTATCACCCTATGCAAGGGAGCTCCCTTGACTCACTGTTTGGGTTGCCCTTTAGGGGGAGTAGGCAGTTATGAAAAAGAGGTGATGGGTTTCAACCAGGATAGGTCAAGTGAATACAGACTCTGCCTTCTCACCCAAACCAATTACTTGAGCAGCTTCAGGGCCCTAGCAACCATATTTAAAGTCTTTCTAGGTTTCTCTCATGGCACCCTCCACTCTGCCCAATATATTCACCTTTCTTATTACCAGTTTGCTAGTGAGTACTCATTTTTTTGGAGCTTAGTTCAGGAATCAACTCCATGTTAACTCTTTCTCTGAGTTTTGTAGGCTGGGGTCCCCTTCTAAGAGATTTCTTCTGTTTCCAGATCGTATCCCAGTTTAGTCTTCCATGTATACTGGCTATTCAAGTAATTTACACATTCTTTGAAGGCAAAGGCTTTGTTCATGTCTCATTCATCTTTGGCAAGATACCAAGTATTATTGTTTAGCATATAGGAAACTCTTACTATTTCTTGTTAATTATGTAAAATATCAGTATCAAAAGCCAGAATGAAAATTTGATTATCTAAAAATTTAAAAAGCACTCTTGCATAATGACACTGTATTAAATTCCTCAAAGAAAAATCTAGTCAAAAGACAAAACAGAGAAAATGTTGTAGCACATGATGACAAACTATTTTCCCTCATACATAAAGAGCTTTCTACAGTTCAACAAGAAAGATGAAGCTACTAGAAAAAAATGGACCTTACATATGATTAGGCAACTCACAGAACAATATACATAGCTAATAAATGTTTGAAAAAATAATCTCAATCAAACCAAAAAAGTTAATATTACACAATGAACCATCATTTTATTAATTATACTAGTAATGATTTTTGAAATTCTGTTATTATTCATTGTTGATTAATATATGTGTAAATAGAAAATCACATATAGCTGGCAGAATATAAATCAGTTTCCATTTTTTAGACCATTTGGTAATGTCAATCTATATTTATGTAAAAACACCATTGACCTAGCAATTCTGCTAGGAACTTGTCCTACACTCACGTAAGTATGCACAGATATGTGCAAGATTGTTTTCTGTAGCTTTTCATCTTTTTTGCTTTGTTTTTTCAGTTCTGGGGATTGAACCCAGGGCCTTCCACATTCTAGGCAATCATTCTGGTGCTGAGCCACAGCTTTAGCCATTTTATTTTGAGACAGGTTCTCATTAAATTGCCCAGGCTGGCCTTGAATTTTTTTTTTTTTTTTTTTGGTACCGGGGATTGAACTCAGGACTTTGAGCTTGTGAGGCAGGCAGCGGCACCACTGAGCTAAATCCCTGGCCCAGCCTCGAATTTTCTGATCCTCCTCCTTCAGCTTCCTGAGTAGCTGGGATTACAGGAGAGTACTATCATGCCTGTTTTAGCATTGTTTCTAGTAGTAAAAAACTGGACACAACTTAAATGTTCATGAACATATATATGAACATTATATGACATGGAATACTAAGCAGTCTATTATTATTAATTTATTTTCTGGTACTGGGAATCGAACTCTAAGCAGTCTTTAAAGTGAAAGGAGGAAAATTTCAATAGATAGCATGATACATCTGTATACATAACTGGATATAACTGAGAAAGCAAATGTATATATATATATCATCATGCATCTGCATATATGAAGGATATATAAGAATCTTTTAACAAAAAAGTTAACTTAGGACCGGGGATTTAGCTCAGTGCTGCTGCCGCCTGCCTCATAAGCATAAGGTCACGAGTTCGATCCCCAATACCAAAAAAAAAAAAAGTTAACTTAGGGGAGTGGGACTAGGATATTTTTAGAACATGTTTGTTTGACCATAAGCTTTGTCTTTTTTTTTTTTTGCAGGCAGCAGCACCACAGAGCTAAATCCCCGGACCCCATGAGCTTTATCTTAAAGGCTATTAGACAGGCGGCAATGTTTGCTTGCCTGGCGTATGAGAGAGAGAGCAAGGTATGAGGAAAGAGCTCTTCAGATCACCTGCTCTGCTTCTTCTTGCCCGACGACCCCTTCGGAGACTAGAGTGCCTTGTGGTAATGGGCCGGTACCTTCGGGAAAGTGGCTCCTCTGAAATAGCAAATTAAAGGAGTGATCAATTTGGCTGTGCCCTTCCTCCTGGGGGGGGTGGGGGTGGCGGGAAGGAGTTGATGTGCACTGATATCCGAGACAGGGAGTACTATGCCAGGGTTCTGAACTGGTCGCTAGTGTGATTCTCATACACTCCTACCTCTCTTCCTCATTTGTTCTCCCTCCCCACTTTCTGGGCCTACCAGTTCTGCTCCTTTTTCTCACCTGAGCCCTGGTTGCTTGTTACCACCTTATATCTCCACTGGGCCTCAGAGAGAACCCTGGAAAACTGGTTCAGGCGGCTCTGCAGTCCATCTCTGCTTCCTGCACAGCCCTGGCCTTCCAGGAGCTTTGCCTTATCAGGCGGGCTGTGGCTGCTGATCCTATCCAGCTGTTCCTGGAGAAGCCCAAGGAAGGCCCCTATTGCAAACTCATCAGCCAGGAATCCATTGATACCACTAGTAAAGTGCATTAGATCCAAAAAATTGCCATGGGGCCCTGGGGAGCTGTCTTTTGGCTGTAGTTTTAGACAGCTTGGCATTGTATGTACAAGGTTCCTGGGGGCTCCAAGGGAACCCCGTTCCGACTTCTTCTCAGGTTGTGCTGTGTGCTGAGGGCTTTCTGATGGAGACCTCCAACCCAAGGAGCCTTTCCCCTCAGTGTCATCATCCTCAGCATAGTCTTCAGGCAGATGAGGCTCTGGGTGAAGATCAGTAGAGGTAATGAGAAGCAATGAGAAGATGTTTTCTAGAAGTTCTAGGCACAAAGAGTCAGGGATACTGCAGAGATACTGTTGACACCTGGCCAGGTAAGTTGAGAAGAGATGTGAAGCACCTAAAGAAACACATGCAAGAGAAAAGGCAGGGGAAGAGAAGGAAAGAGAATACAAATATTAGAAGCATTACTTGCCAGATTCAAAATTTTCTCGTAACTATAACCTTTTTTTTTTTTTTTTTTTTGGTAACAGGGATAGAACTCAGGACCTTGTACTTGTGAGGCAGGTGATGGCACCACTGAGCTAAATCCCCAGGCCAACTCACTTTTTTGTTTGTTTGTTTTGGGTTTTTTGGTACCGGGGATTGAACTCAGGACCTTGCACTTGCAAGGCAGGCGGCAGAACCACTGAGCTAAATCCCTGCCCCAACTCATTTATTTTTTAATGACTAAGGGAACTGAGGGAAGAAAGAAACATGAGTGTTTACCCAGCCATGTCGCTTCATGATTGGCAGAAATATTTTTTTACTTTAATTAAAAAGTAGAGCTTCCTGAAAACTCATTATTTGTTTTTGCTTTTTAAATATGACATTATTATTCATCTCTGACAAATATTTCATATTTGATTGAAGGCAGCATGGAGATTCCTTATTCTTTATTCTATTTTAATTTGTTGTTAAATTAAAGGTGATCATAGGCTGCCTAGATCTTTTAAGAAACACTGAGTAGGGGCTAGGGATTTAGCTCAGTGGTTCTGCAGCCTGCCTCACAAGCACAAGGTCCTGATTTCGATCACTGGTACCAAAAAAAAAAAAAAAGAAAGAAAAGAAACACTGAGTAGACAAAAAAATGACCATGCTCGAAGTGAAGGTCTATTCCAAAGCTAGAAGTGAAAGGGAACTGAGTACTCATCATAGAAGGCAAGTTTAGAAATTTAAGCTAAGAAAAATGAGATAGGATAGGACATTAGGTATGTATTTCTCACACTGGATTATAACCTAACCTATTGTCTTAGAGGTTTACATTTAAAAAATGAAATAGAACAGAAAAATAATCGCAAGTGTGCTCCATTTGGAAAAGTATTCTTAAGACTTAGTTTCAGTTTATATACCACATATACACACATATATCGACACACAAATAAACACACAAATTGTATATGTAGGTACAAACTGGGGTGTGACGTGAGACACCATTGTTACTGTGGCTCATAAATAAAGAAAAAGAAAGCATTTGGAAAATACTCTAGGACAATGGTGGCGAAGCTATGGCATGTGTGCCGCAGCAGGCTATTTGTATCACTGAAAGATCTAAAAGGTTCACCATCACTGCTCTAGGCGATCATAAGCAAGTCCCTTGTTTCATCAAGCTGGTAAATGGATGGCATTATTACTGAACTCCACAAAATCAAGGCCACCTCAGTCAAGGTGGGAAAGAGTAGTCACCCAAAGTATTCATTGGGACAGACCTTGCCAGCAATCTGTCAGAGATGGAGAGGGGGAGTCCCTTACCTGGGGAAGGGACAGAGTCCTCTGTTGGCTCTGTGGCCAAGGCCAGGTCCTCAGAGGGGCTGTCTCTGCAGTCCTGGCACTGGGAATACTGGTGCGAGTTCACACAGAGAGCATAGATGGCATATTTCATGGCACAGAAGCCCTGGTAGAGGGTCAGATTCTGACACTGGCTCAGGTGCTCAGGAACTGGGGCATCAGTAGAATCTGAATTAGACAGAGAAAAAGGCAGAACTTCAGAGTGAATTCTTTCATGAGTAAGTGTCTAGCATGGCTAAAGCAAAGAGGCTGTACTTTTACATTCTTACCCTCTCTCTTTTCTGTGAATCTGATCTCCATCCCTTCCAGGTCTTTCTTCTAGTCAACATCAACTTTCAGTCCCCTTTGCTTCCTTTTCTCTATCAACCTACATGTCTCATGCCTCTACATGCCATTGTTGCTCAGGGCTCAAGCTTCGAACCCTTGTCCCACCCCTGTTATTGCTTCTTTTTTGCCTTTTTTCAAGTTCAAGTTCTAAGTGTATCTCCATGGTCACCACAGATCAGACTTAAGTATTTTTTTGGAAGGCTTTTGTACTTCTATGTTAAAGCCAGAGTTTTAGTTCCTTTAGGAAATCTCTTAACCAGGTTGCTTATCTTTCCAGGAAAAAAAATATGTAATATGATAACAATAATTTTGCAATCATTTGAAGGTCCTTTTGAAAGTAAAGCAGAGCAACATCCAGGCTGGGAAATATCTATTGCCATATAAGAAAGATTGTTTCTCTCAAACATATGTGTCCCTGGTCTGTACGGCAGGCTGTGACTATGGTATGATATGATTTTGACAGTAAAGAGAACAAGTTTGCAAATAGGGTTTTGAATTTCAAGAAAAGATCAAAAGTAAAAATGAAGTTTGTTATAGTTTCAGATAAATCTTTTGTCCAAACCTCTGGATCTGTTCAATACAGTATGAAGGCGATATGGAAAGAGGAAGGAGGGCATATTTTTGTGCTGTGGGAAAGCTTATGAAGCATGAAACCATTCGCCAGGAATTTCCATAGACACTGTCAAGAACAATGGTGTGAATGCAGAAGACAGTTCCTAATTTTGTATCATTGGGATGAGGGTATGCCAGTGGTTTCTGAGATGACTCCATAGGACAAAGTATGTGGGACTGTGCCCATAGGATTCCCTACAACTCATCAAGGGGGGGATAAAAAAAAAAAGAAAAGAAAGGGGGGGAATGGCCGTGTATCCCATGATCTAATAGCACTAATTTGGAGGACACTTGCTGGACCACTTTCTCAACAGACTGCCCAGTGATCACATCTAGATAATCTTCCACTGGAGGAAATATGTGCAAGAGGGAATCTTGGCCAAACTGTTCCATTGCCAACTCACCATGCTCTTGTTGGAGGTCCTTGGCTGGCTCCTTCTGTAAGAGCTTGAGAACTTCTTCCTCTTTGAGGGCTGGAAGGTTAGTAAGGTGATGGAGAGAGTAGAGCACTGAGTGGCTGTCTCCGCCGTGTAAATGATACAAGAGATCTCTCTTTGGTATAGGGTTGCTAAAAGGGAAAGTTGGGAGGATGGAAGAGAGGCGGTTTATATTACTGTTCTAGAAAGACTGGTCTTTATTTCCTTTTATTCTTCTCTGGCCCAGAACACCACAGTTTTACTTCCACAATCTCTACCTTTTAGTAGGTCTGGGATAGAGCCTACCATTTATTTCTCCTCAGGGAAGTACATCCATCAAGTCAGCTCTATTTGTCTAGAAAGGACCTAGAAGGGGCCTTTCCAGTAAGTAGGGTCTAGAAAGGGCCTGCAGTTTCATTTTCCTAATTTCTATGCTCTCCCTTAGCTTTGAACTGACATAAACTTCTCTGGTGTTACTTGAGGAAGGGCCCCTCACCACTTCCCTCTCCACCTACTCCACTCTGGAAAGTACTGGTGAGGTGAGTGAAGAACAAGACAGAAACCCAGAGTTAGGCTGTCTTCAGGGAAATGCAGGATTTCACACACAGTTCAGTGAGCATTTATTGAATAAAAGTATGATTCAGGATAACATGACTAAGGATATGGATGACATTTACTTGCTATGTAATTTTGGACAAATTATTTAACATCTCTGGGCTTCAGTTGTTTTACCTTTCAAATAAAGATAATATTGGTATTTACCTGATAGAGTTGTTGTGAAGCTTAATTATCCAGGAAAGGGCTTAGAGCAATGCCTGGCATATAGCAAGTGCTTAGGAAATTGAAACTGTCCTCTAGTTATGGCCTGATGGTCATGGAGAAGATAATCATGACTTATCTTTTTTTTTCCTAGTTTAATAGCTGGAACAATTATTTATGACTGGTCAACATCAACTCTAAACATTTATGTAGAAGTCTTGAAATGGACACACACATGGAGCACAGGGTGCTGCTAGACAGTAGGAAGGGGCTAACCATACATATAGGCCCATACCTGCTGTGCTGTACGCACCACTCCAGGATCTCCAGGTGGGCCCACAGGCCATCACAGGCATCCCTGAGGAGCTCATCACAGCCTTGTTCCTATGGCAACAGGGGAGAAGATGCTGACTCAGGTATCTGACATCAGAGATTGCGACCAACTTTGCTAACTGCTGAATCCCAAAGCCTCACATACTCACTTATGGAGCAGGCCAGGGCATAGAGTTAGGAGTGAGCATTACCTGGGTCCTGTGCAGTGTCTGGAGCAGCCCTTTTGCTGACTCAAGGCTCTGGCAGTGGGTCCAGCCTACAAGCACGAGCAGGTGCCTGAGAGGCCTGAACTCTCTATCCAACAGGCAGCCAAGGCTTGGGAAGTCTTCTTCTTTCAACAGAGTTAGCGCTGTTACCTGTAAGCCAAAGAAGCCCACTGTAGGCTGCTGTGTGGACTAGGAGAGAGTTCCAGCTTGCTGTTCACTAGGCAGAGAAGCTCTTTAGTACAGTGGGGAGACTTCTGATACCACAAAAGTGGACAGTGGGATAAAATAAATATTCACAGAAGCACAAGCCTATGATGGAAGCCCTCATAGGCAAGGAATGACTTCTGTTGTAATCCTAGCTCCTAGCAAGTGCACAACACACAGGACAAGATTCAGAAATATCTGTTGAATTAAGTTCAGTTGTACTCTAGAAGGTAAAATTTAATTAAATTTTTTTTTTTTTTGTACTGGGGATTGAACTCGGGACCTTGCGCTTGCGAGGCAGGCAGCGGAACCACTGAGCTAAATCCCCAGCCCTAAATTTTGTTTTTAAGACAGAGTATCACTATATCGTTCAGGCTGGCTTTGAACTCACCATGTACCCCAGGCTGACCCTGAACTGACGGCAATCCTCCTGCCTCAGCCTCCCAAGTTCTGGGATTACAGGTGTGTACCACTATGCATGGAAGCATAGAAGGAAAAATTTAGAGTAATTAAATTCCCCTGTCAGCTATGCCATGTAGTGCTGCCATGGTCTTTTCTCTTACACCTTTCAGAAAGCTGACGTATCCAACATCTTGTTTCCTGCCAAACCACCAATATAAAGTGACTACAACTGTAATTATGAATGGTACCGATTCTCAGAGCCTTTTCTTCTGTGGGACTGTGGGATGGACAGAACCAGTGACTTGCCAGTAATTAGACTGCTTGTGTCAAATAAATGACTGGCAGAGAAGTGAGGAATGGAAAAGGCCAGGAAAAGCCCTGTGATGGAGAATATGGTACTTAAGCTTGACTTACCAGAATCTGCTCGAGGAAGTGCTTGTTGTTGCTCAGGCAGTAGAAAAAGGCCACTTTCCAAGCCTGGGCTGGGTAGGGAGTGGAGAACAGCGCCAGCATTGTCCGCTCAGGATCTGGATGATCCAGGGAGACTGAACATCAAACCAGAAACGGTTATTGGGAAATCAAGAGCTCTTCTTTTCTAAGCTAGAGCCCATTTGAAAAATCAATTGATGTGAGAGTGGGTTGTTCAAAAAATTTAAACCAGGTTTCCTATGCTTTATCTTAAAGACACTTTACTTCTCTTAGTAGTCTCTGCAAAGCTCTTTCCTGTTATTACTGTTACTTTTCCCCCCACTGGTTGTCTTAGGTGATTTTTGCTTAGCCTCTATTAGGGGTCCTGAACAAGTGAGCATCAGTCTACAGCAGTAGTGGCACACATGCTGCAGCGGCTGTTTGTTATTACTGAAAGCTCTAAAAGGATTGCCATCACTGGTCTAGAGGAACTTCAGAGAGGCTGGGCATACTGGAATGACCAAAACACAAAATGAAATTGCCAAAGGAACATACCTTTCCCTGAAGGCATGGCTGTTGGTGGCTTTTCCATGACTTTTTCTGCATAGGTGTGGCCATAAAGGGACAACAAGCCCTGCCCGCCCTTGTGCAGTAGGCAGCCAAGCAGCTGGTCCTCCTTTAGGGGACTTCCCTCGGTCCTGCAGGCATCCAGGAGTTCTTCACACAGGGCACGCAACTCAGCCCCAGGGGACTCTGCAGGGCATCGCAGAGTCTGAAGTGCTCTGTAGATGGCATCCACATCCCCTGGGGGCCCAGAGGCAGGTCCCTGCAGAGTCCGAAGTGCCTTTCGAATAAGGCCCACCAGTGCCTTCTGCAGAGGCCAATGACAGAGGCCAGTGCCATCATCCTCCCCAAGCAGGAACTCCAGCAGGGCCTGTGCTTGCTGGGGAGCCTGCCTCAGAAGATCCCAGAGCACAGAGACAGCTTCGGAGCTGAGCTGAGGGGTCCAGCTCAACTGCCTCTGATGTGCATCAGGCAACTGGGATACTGTCCCTTGTGCTACAATCTCATACAGCTCCTAAATAGAGACAAAGAGAGGTGGCAGTGAGGGTAGGGGTGTTAGTATGCCCAGAATGTTATTACTTGCAGTAGCAAACACTTCTAAGACTTATTATGTGCTGGCCCCGAGTGAGGCAATTTACACAGAAGAATCAAATTAACCCTTAAAACAACATTAACTACTTAATTACTATTGCAATTCCATTTCACAAATGAGGAGATTGAGAGAGAGTAACTCAATAACCCAAGGCCCCCAAGCTCAAGCTAGTTCCAAATGTGTACTGGTCTCAACTGGGAACTGTAAATTCACAGACCAGATAGGGAAGACATTATTCTCATCTAAAAGCATTTAAACTTACTTTTTAAAAGGACATTACATATCAGTTTTAAACTCCTGATCTAAATCCTACCCATGTTTTAAGGTACAGTCCATTCTGGCCCTCTCACAAAACCTTCCTGCTATAGTGTAAGTGTATCCCTTGAAATTTCACATGTTGGAAACTTAATCTTCAAATTCATTTGTTAATGATATTTGGAGAAAGGGCCTTTGGGAGATAATTATGATTAGATGAGGCCACAAAGGAGGGGCCCCATGATATACTAGCAGTTTTGTAAGAAGAGGAAGAGAGACTTGTGCTACCACACTGTTTCGTTTTGCCACGTGATGCCCTCCCCCACATTGTGATCCCATAAGAAGGCTCTCAACAGATGCTGAGCAGATTCCAGTGCCATGTTTTCTTCTCAGCCTCAGAACCATGAACTAGATAAAACTCTACTCTTTATAAGTAACTCAGTCTGTGGTATTGTTATGGCCACAGAAAACAGACTAAGACACTCGTCTAATGCTTCTAATTCACACAAGTTAAATGCCATTTAAATTAGAACCATATGGTTTAACTAGGTAATAGTCTCAGGTGTGTCTTATTCTTCCTCCCAACCAGATGATGAGCCCTTCAAAATAAGAGCCTGTATGTCCTGTCTGAGTGAGGCAGAGGAAGAAAATGGGGCAAGAAGTAGGTTATTACTTATATTTTAGCACCAGGACTATGGATGGTGTTCAGGGATGCCTGTTTTTTTAACTGAAGATCATACGTCCTTGACTTCATTTGATCTTAGCCAAAAGGCCGAGAAGTGATTAAGTCCTTGATTTAATAGAAATTAAAGTCCCTACTTTATTTTTGAGACAGGATCTTGATATGTCATTCAGGCTGGCCTCGAACTCAAGGCAATCCTCCTGCCTCAGCCTCCTGAGTGATGGAATTACAGGTGTGTGGCACCATGCCTGGCTCCCCAACTTTACATTCTAAAATAAATATGTCTTTAACAGTAGCAGGGCTATTAAGAAAATACACATTGGGTTGAGGGTATGATTCAGTGGTAGGGCCTGGGTTCAATTCTCAGTACAATAAGTGCCTGACTTACAAACATTTGAGTTGCAAACTTTCACAGGTGTACAGAATAAGATTGATATGTGTACTGTATAAGACTTTGTGGGATTATGAATGAGTCCAACTTATGAACATTCCCCTGGAATGGAACTCATTCAGTTCTGGGGACTTACTGTACAGAAAAAGAAAGAAAGAAAATAAGTATTAAGCATCAGGGCATACTTCAGGTACTTTACAAGTTGCAACTGATTCTATATGTATACTATATAGATATAGCTGATACTTAGCTTGAATCTGTTTCTAGAAATTTGAGGATTAATTACAACACATTCAGTGCACCTGTTACAGAAAAGCTAATTCACCAAATACTAGTTCATTTTTCCCTTCATATTCCTTATCATCTACTGGTCAAAAATTCAAACATTAGTTTAAAGCCAAGCTAAGTATTCCTTTTACATGAAAAGAAAAAAATCTTTAATCTCTAGCTATACTTCGTACTTTTTTTTTTGAGAGAGGGTCTTGCTATGTAGTTCAGGCTGGCTTTGAACTCACTATGCAGACCAGGCTAGCCTCAAACTCCTGCCCCAGCTTCCCCAGTGCTCATACTTAGTACTTTTGGACAATCTACCTCAAGTATTCTAAAATCAGGTAAGTTTACCTGAACTCTAATCTCCCCTTAGAGGGGCCTCTACCAGTCCTTTCCTGAAAATAAGGTATAGCTGACATCTTGACAGCTGAGGTAGTCTTCTGCTGAAAATTTTGTTGGGTCTCAGAAAGCTGAGTTTGTTGACTGACTGAACAGATAGCTCAAGGGCTCTCTCTCACCTTGAGAATGTCCTCTGGAATGTTACTTTGGAGGTCTTCTGACAAAAAAAGAAACTCAAGCTTTCTCCGGTAAACAGCTGGGAGTAACTTCTAGAAGAATCATAAGAATCATAAGAAATCATAAGAATCATAAGAGAGCATATTAGGCACATGATTTAACACATCATAAGTAAATATATCTGTCCTGTTAGTCTTATCTGTTCTATTTCTCTAAGATAAAGCATTTTAAACCACTAAACTTCTTGATATGTTTTCAGATACTTTATAAACAAACAGTTAAACTTGGTCACATACCTCTCTTAAAAACTAATATGTAATGGACCGGGGATGACTCAGGGGTGCCACACCTGCCTCATAAGCACAAGGTCCTGAGTTCCATCCCCAGTACTACAAAAAGAACTCACAGAAGACAAAAAACAAAACTAGTATTTAAAGCCCATATTGATTAGCCTTAAACTTCAAGTTGTATTAATTTCATGTGATTTTCTAAGATTCTTCTTTTTAAATGGTTAAATTTAATTATATTTGTGTGGTTTTTTCATGTGACCTTTTTCTTTATCACTTGAGCTTTTTTTCCCCAGGAAATCTCTTTTGCTGTGTCCAAAGCACCAAGGTACAGGTAAGCCTGGCAGGGTTTGCCTCCTATAATCCTTTTTTGGTCTAAACCCCTGTTTTTGGTATTAACTCTCTTTTGCATATGAGTTGGAAAAAAGGTAAAGAGGGTAAGATTTAACATTTTCTAATGTTTACTAAACAGTTATATGCCAGGTATCATGCAGCATATTTAATTTTATTTTTTATTTAGTTTCTGCATCAAATAAATTGGTGGCACATAGTTACATAGTTTAAAAATTATCGGGCCAGGGATTTAGCTCAGTGGTTCCGTTGCCTGTCTCGCAAGCACAAGATCCTGAGTTCAATCCCCGGTACCAAAAAAACAAATAAATAAATAAAAATAAAAATTATCTTTATTAGGTGAAATAGAAAGACTTTTCAAATTATTCCAAACCTGAAAAAGAAAAGTGACCCACCCACTCACCCCATTTTTTTTTTTTTTCTGCAGTGTTGGGGATCTAACCCAGGGCCTCTCACATGATAGGCAAGCATGCTATCACCAATCTACACCCCCCCAACCCCCAAGAAAACTTTTGTTTTTGTTTCTCTGAGATGAGGTCTCACTCTTGGCTGGGCTGGTCTTTAATTCATGAGCTTAAATGATCTTCTGCTGCCCCATCCTAAGCAGCTAGAACCACAGATGTCTACCACCACAGGGGGCTGACCCCAGAGTCTGGTACTGTGATGTGCCATCAGTATGGTCTAATGCAGAAACAGAAAGGCTGCGACTTCCTTACACCTGCTTGCTTCACAGTAACTTCCCTCACTCCCTAACTCAAATTAGAGTCTCTCTTTCTCCAGAAACAAAAATGACATGAGAGTCTGGGACTAATCCTGACAAACAGTAAATTAGAGACATCTGTAAATCAGGCCTCTGGGTAAAGCTTCTCAGAGATAAGTTTTATTGGACAGTAAGAAGCACCAGGAGTAACATGTGTACATGCAACAGTTATAACACAAGGCCACATTTCTGCCATTCATGTGCATGGTCCAATGCATTCTTGGCCCTAAATCTTATGCTTGCCACACCCTTCCCTATTATGTGCATCAGTGCCATGTAAATGCTTGCATAATGTTAATGATTACAAATTGATGGGGAAAATTCATGCTGAGAAGCTGAAGGTTACTGGACAGTGTTTCTATTGAAGAGTAAGAGGAAAGAATAAGTAGGAAATCTAAGACACCAGGCCCTTAATAGTCTGGTTAAGATTCTAACACTTTGTCCAGAATCCTAACTGCTAATTAGGTTATATTTAATTTACTGGTGAAATTACTTTAAGCATATTCAGGATCATAAAAGGCTAACATTTCTAAAACAGGCAAGAATTTGCTTAATGTTTCTAAGCACAGATTTCCTTATTGTAAGAGCAAGGCAAATTCAATGGGAAAAGATAAGAATACACAAATATGTAAACTTAATATCTATATCTATATCTATCTATGTATATAGTTCTATATCTTCAAAATGAAATAGAACTACTATTAATGGCCATTTTCTTTTTTTTTTTTTTTTTTTGGTACCAGGGATCGAACTTGGGTCCTTGTGCTTGCACAACAGGCAGTGAAACCACTGAGCTAAATCTCCGGCCCCTATTAATGGCCATTTTCTATACATGTATATACCACACGTACTATTTCCTAAACTGCTTTTTTTCATCTCATAAAGTTTGAATATCCTTTCATGTCACTGAAAATTTATTTACCATATAATTTTGAATACTGGCACAGTGTTTCACATATAGATATACTTCCATTTATTAACTACTTCTGTGCATTGTGAACATGGGGGTTGTTCCCAGTTCTTTTCCATTAGAAGCAAAGCAACAAACATTCCTGCAGCTAAATTTTTGTATACATGTTTACATATGTAGGGGAAAAATCACTGCAAGAGAGAGGCAGAAGGCAAATGAAGGAAAGGAAAAATAGAATCATTGCTTCACTTAATCATTAAAAAGCAAGATTTTGGCCGAAGGTGAGAGCCTGGAAAAGAAGCGGCAACCAGCAAATTCTTAGATCAAGGAATCTCTAGGATAATGTAGAACTACCCCAAGAGTGCATGTGCTGAAGCTGGGCGTGGTGAAAAACACCTGTAATCCCAGTGCTTGGGAGGCTGAGGCAGGAGCATTGCCATGAGTTGGAGGCCAGCCTGGGCTACATAATGAGTTTATGGCCAGCCTGAACTACAGAGTGAGACCCTGTCTCAAAAAAACAAAAAACAATCAAACAATAAAAAAAGAATATATGTGCAATCTTGGTCCTTATACCTCCAGTCCCTCTGAGCAACAAAAATATTTCCACAATTGATTAAATAAGGGAGTCAACGGAGCTTTAAAAAAACAAGTGATCTGTTACAGGCCGGGGATTTAGCTCAGTGGCACCGTGCTTGAATTCGATCCCCGGTACCAAAAAAAAAAAAAAGAAAAGAACAAGTGATCTGTTACAAAACAAGAACAACTCTTAGTTCGTGCTAAGGAGATGTGAAAGACAAATTCACTGCCCAACATGGTTGAGCAACTGTCCAGAAAATAAGCACCATCAGCATCAAGGACACAGAACCTCCACTGAGGGGAAAGTTCATTTGGTTTGACAAATTTCATGTTTGTATTAGAGAGATCCTTAATCAGTAACACAATTTATTTTCTCTGAAGATACTATTCTAGATAAAGTATTTCAACTTTAGCTCAATTTTTTTTTCTTTTAAATTTGACTCTTAGTTATCCTGGGTTTCATTATATTTTAATCTTGCTTTTCTTTCTTCCCCCTCCTGCTAGTCTTTTTGACATTTGTCTTTCCTAGACAGTGGCCCAAGGCCTGGATAAAAGATACATTTAGATCAGTAATTTCTGTTATTTTTGACAGCTTTGTAAAGGATAAATGTCATGCAAAAATGGAAATAAAGACAAAATTGATCCTGATGACTAAAGGGAATAAAAACAACAACAACAAAAGGCTAAATGACAGACATTTAAGAAACAGAATTTACTTTAAAGATCATATAAGCTATAAATAATGTTGAGATAGAAAAAACAGAGGACTGGGATTCAGATTTTGGTTTCAGCTCCAGTTCTGTCAACTGACTTTATAGTATATCCTTGGGCCAATGATGGTTCCTCACTTAAAAAAATCTTAAAATCTGAGGTTCAGGGGCCGAGGATTTAGCTCAGTGGTTCCGCTGCCTGCCTCGAAAGTGCAAGGTCCCCAAAACTCTGAGGTTCAGTATGGAATTGCCTCAGAAATTCCTTTAATAGATCTCATCTTTGATAATAAACACTGTAAAAGAGCTTTTAGTGGAAGATTTCCTTGAAAGGAAAAAAAAAACCACTTCTTCCCTAGTTTTCTCTTGCTATTAATTAGCTTACCATGTTTTTAATTTGGTAATTTTCCAATTCATGTGAATTATCAAATTACTAGTTAATAGAACTTCAACCTATAAGATTTCACTGTTTTGGACAAGTGAAAATAAGATTTTCAGAAGGGAACCCAAGCTTTGGCTCAGCCTATTCTCAATAAACCTAGTGTTGAATAGATCTAAATGTTATAGGTTCATATTTTATTTGCTATCTTGTCACTTTCACTGAGTTCCACAAAGTTCTTTCTAGGCACAGACTCATAGTAGCATTTTACAAAATGGCATCACCTCAAATGGTATTAAATGCCAATGTACATTAGTAATTTAATGATGAATTTAGGTAAGGAGAGAGTAACAATTTAAACAATTATTACTGTCAATACTGAGAAAGAATGTGACCAACTTCATAATAAAAGAAGTAACAGACAAAGGGAAATCCCATAACCACTCTAAGTTCTTCTCTGTTCTGGCCTTACATTTAATTGTAACCCCTCTTACCTTTTCCTGGGCCAACCATTTTTCCAGTACAAGAAGCCAGAGCCAAGCTAATCTTTGGGGGCTCATGTCCTGCCCACATCTGAAAAAGGTGAAAAGAAAGGAGTTTCTACAGATATTTTCTCTTTTGTGCTCCAAAACTTAGAATTCGCTGTCCAGTCTATGTTAAACCTGAATAGGTAAGTTCTAATGAGAATTTTTCAATTGCATATGATAGTTTAGTAAAATATCAGAACCAGAACAGATCTGGAAGCTTTCATAAAAAAGTCTTAAGCCACCTCCATATCCTCCTTTTTGATTTTTTTTTTTAAGGTGTCTTGCTGAGTTACTTAAGGTGGTCTTGGAACTCCTGGGTTCAGGTGACCCTTTTGCCTCAGCCTTCTGAGTAGCTGGGACTACAAGCACATGTCACTGTGCCTGGTTTAGTACTGCTTTTAAACATAATATTAAAAAGAAAATCATAGTAGGTAATGGTATCTAAATTATATTCTTGAACACAAAGAATGAATCAAATATAAAAGAAACAAGGAAGTCATAAAAATTTATTTTTAACCATGTGGAAAAGAGCCAGAGTTATAAGAATGCCTATGTCTTTCTTTGAAGTCAGCAATTTAAACACTAACTAGCTAGAACCCAAATTTAAACTAAAAAAAGTAAAAAAGGAAGGGAAAAAAGAATCACTTGTTTCTTCTCCATCGATACGTTAATACAATACTTCAATTGTGTAACATTAACAGTTAAAGTAAGGATAAACCTGGGAAAGACTAACCAGAACATTTGGCTCCTATTTACTACTATTTAATAGCACTGACAGGAAGAACTTCATTAAAAACCTAGGGTGGAGAAATCTGGTTACCAGGAGACAAGGAGGGGTCATAGTGCAAATATAAATAGTACCAAGGAGGAGGGATGCAATCACTTTTGCAGTGATGCAACAGTTCTAGCTTTATTACCATGGGATCACATGAATCTACATGGGGGTAAAATTATATAGAGCTAGTAATAAAACATGAATTCAGATTTTAAAAATGGTGCAATCCAAATAAGATCTGTAGTGTAGCTAACAGTAATGTACCAATGTCAGTTTCCTGGTTGTGATATTGTACTACAGCTAAATGAGGTGTCATTGGGAAAAGCTGGGGAGAAGATATACTGACTGCTATTTTATTTCTTGCGAGTGTAATTATTTCACAATGAAGTTTTAAGTGAATTCATTTTCAGCCCTTTGTTAGAGCTACAATATCTTCAATCTCAAACCCATACCAAGAGAGCAGAGTTTGCTTTTTTTTTTTTTTGTACTAGCAATTGAACCAAGGGCCTTTGTACTAAGTTACATTCCCATCCCTGTTTACTGTATTTTTTATTTTATTTTGAGACAGGATCTTGTTAAATTGCCCAGGCTGGGCTTGAACTCTTGATCCTCCAGTCTTAACATCTGAGAGTGCTGGGATTATAGGCATGTGCCACTATACCTGGCATTAGGGTTTGCTTTTTTGGAGGCAAAGAAAACACTTTTCAATGTAGCTACACCAATATCTTTAAGGATAATAAACAAAAAATGACTTCAGGTACACTTTGGTGGCCAGGTTTAAATCCAGTTTCAGATGATAATCCAAAATCATTAAACTACATTAATACTAAAGGGCATATATTTTACAGGTAAATTTTCACAACACTTGAAATATACTTTGCTTTTGCTAATTCTTTAAGAGGGTAGTTGAATGGGGCACATGGACACAAGGAAATATGTGCCTCTGGCCCTAAGACCCCCTAGAGCAAAGGGAGATCCCTTACCTCAGCAGATCTGGACACAGCACCAGCGCCTGAAGTATGTCTTCCACCCTCTTTGGGATATCCCCTTGTGCCTCGTGTAGCTGATGGATACATGCCTGTGCCAGCTCCCACTCTCCCCTCCGCAGGCACTCACAAAAAAATTCAAAAAGCTGCTCCTCGGTAGCAGTTTCCTCTTTTCCAAACGGATGACTCATTTTCCCAGCCAGAGTGCAGGGAGGTAGAAAGAGATGCGTTACGCGGAACACATTCTCAGTGGTCTCATTCGTGGAGTACCTCCTAGAAACAACACACGAGAGAGGAAAGGAAGGTAGACAAACCAGCAGCTACGGACAAGACCAGGAAAGGCGGGACTTATTTTCATAAATATTGTTTTAAGTTCGACACGTTATTATCTCTTTTGGAGAACTGCCACTTTTTCCAAGGGGTGGATTTCATCTCTACGCAGATCCTATATTTAATAAGATCAATCGCAGTATTGGCGGGGGCTAGAACCCATAACTCTATATCCTTATTCCCTCCGGAACGTTTTGCCCAGGGTGGCTCCAAATCCCCAGGTGGTCGATTCAGCAGGAACACTCCTCCTTTGAGCCTTCTGTTAAGGCAGGTTTGAAGATCAGGAGAAAATTTGTGTCAGAAGAGCAGTGGGGGGTGGGGGAATTAAAGGCCAGGGACACTGCCTACTGGGGCTGTGGAGGAAGCCCCCATCTCCCCCGCGCCTTACACTCACCTGTTCCCGGCACCCAAAGCATTGGAGTTTCCGGGGCAGCCATGTTTGAGCTGGGTCAGGTGACAGATTCCACTGTGAACAGAGGTGGCGGAGACAGAGGGCGGTGAATGAGAGCACCACTCCTATTGGCTCAATGGAGGAAAGATGCAAATTAAGTGCCATATTTGTTTGAATCACGTGATACAACCTCTCTGGACTAAGGAAAGCTAAAATGCTCAGAGTTAAACCAACTAGCTACCTGGCTGCAGACCATCCTTCTCAATTATGACAGCTCCTCCCCTCAACACCTGCAGTTCTGTATTAGTCGAGCAAGTGGCGGGAATACCTATACTCTTTGCTTTGTTTTCTTTCGCTCTTTCTCCCTAGTATTTGAAGTCATTTACTTAGCGACAACCCGTGATAGTGCTTTGCCAGGGGCCCAGAGCTAGGAAAGCTTGGCCCTCCTCTATTATTATTCTACTTGGGCCCTCTTACAAGCTCAGAACTCTGCGGTCTGAATTGTCGTATTTTGGTTCACTCCGTTCGTTTATGGCCTTTTTCCCGACTTTTTTTTTTTTTTTTTTAAATGGGGTGGTCTTGCTATGTGTTCCAGGCTGACCTCCGACTTGCTATCCACCTGTCTCAGCTTCCTGAGTGTTGGGATTACAGGTGTGTACTACCACACCCGGCAACCCGACAGCTTGTAATTGAATGATGTGCTAGGTAGGCTCTGTTTTAGAAGTTGAATAAAATGCGGTTCCCTTTTTCAAGTGAGGGATGTAGGCCAGTCATTAAAATACTGTGGGCTAAATTATGTGATAGAGACAAGGAAGTTGTGCAGGGGAGTACAAAGAATAAGTGCAGGGTTTTTGCAGATATAATAATCTGAAACCAGGTCTTAACTGTTTGTCAGGTTTCCTCATCACAACTGCCTTTACACCAAACGTTCTTGTTTGGTTTCCTTCACTTTCAGCCAGACTCTTAGGTTTCCCCAGTGTGCATGTTTCAGTTTGAGTAATTTCAGTCAGCATTTCCCAAACAATAAAACAAACAGAGCCAGGTGTGGTGTCACAAGTCTGTAATCCCAGCACTTGGGAGGCTGAGGCAGGAGGATCTGTGCGAGTTTGAGGCCAGTGGGGCTACATAGTGAGTTTAAGGCCAGCCAGGACTACATAGCAAGAGCCTGTTTCAAAAAACCAAACTAACGGCCGGGGATTTAGCTCAGTGGCACTGTGCCTGCCTCACAAGCACAAGGTCCTGAGTTTGATCCCTGGTACCACAAAAACTAAAAACAAAGAAACAAAAAACCCACACCACACACACACACACACACACGCACACACACACACACCCCAAACCAAAAACCAAAACAAAACCAGAAAGCTCTCTTCCAAAAACTTCTGTGTTAGGTGGTGGAGTGTTTTCTAATTCTCCAGAAAACATGCCTCTTGGCGTTTTTTTTTTTTTTTTAGACAAGGTCTCACTATGTAATCTATGCTGGCCTCAAACTCACAGCAATCCTCCTGCCTCAGCCTCCTGAGTGCCCATTAATCATTAATCATAAAATGTAGTCCTACAATAAAGAAAATAGAAAATTCCAAGCAAGGCTCCCCTTGTTTCACATTCCCCTTGGTGATGTTCCGGCTCCAGTTTTTGATAATCACTACAATGTTCTCCTCGCTCAAAGGCGGATTAGAGAGGGCAAACTACAATTCCCAGCAAGCTGAGGAGCCAACCTGCGCCTCTGCGTGCCTCTGATTGGATAAACCCACAGGGTGACAACCAACCCGCGCTTGGGTTGTTGCTTTGCGGAGCTTTCCGCGGAGAGCTGTGTAACGGGTGGGGGAACTTTGAAAGTTGGATCCTGCAAACCCGGTACTGGAAAAGTTTTCTGTGGGAGAAGTTGTCGGGGGAGTGGGTGTGCTCATTATTCCTGTTGCCTCCTGGCTAGTGAATACTGATATCGGGCTGGCGAAATCTCTCTGGGTGCTGGGCACGCCCCCTTAAGCCGGTGGGGATGGGGGGGGGGTGCCTCTGGTCTTATTTGGGAAGGGAGGGATGATTGAAAGCTGCCCTTCGTTGGAGAAAACCTTTGTAAAGGAGATTCTGGGTAATGTTTTCGTCTCTTTATTCCCTCTCCCAGTTCGGGCACTTTGAGGTGTATCTGTAGGAGCAATGTAGGGACTGTCCCACTTGAGGTGGTGTTGTAGAGAGTGGAATCTTGGGTCAAACCCTGGATTCGAACGCGGTTCCACTGTTGGCTGGCTGTTTGACCTTGCGCGTTTCTCACCACAGTGCCTCAGTAGTCTTATCTGTAAAATGAGATAAAAATCCGAAGCGGTGGAAACAGTGTCCACCACGAAGATTTTTTCTTTTCTTGCTGGTGGAGAGGAGAAAGTTCGAATTTTCAGGGCTGAATAATAACTCCCTTCGCCTCCAAAAAACATAGGCAAACTCACACGCCTACACAGAAGACACAAAAGGCGTCATGACACATTGGTAAGATTATGGTACAAATATGTACACGGCGAGATGGAGAAACACTGGAGAGAGGAAGAGTGACTCTGGGGAAGGTTTTGTGGAGAGAAGTCAGGTAAAATGATGCTTGAGTAACCTTATTGATTACTTATTATTGATACCTTCATGGCTGGAGAACAGTTTATGTGAGGGGCAGCAAATAGTGTTTGCTGAGTGAATTGATGATGATTGGGTGACTTTAAGCACTATGGTGCCAGCCACTACCTACTATAGTCCTATGAGGTAGAGAGTATAATCACCATTGTTTTATAGATAAGAAAACCAGTGTACTGAGAGGTGAAGTAACTGCCAGGAAAGCCAGGACCTGAGCCTTACAGTCCCATGTATGAGTGAGAATGAAGTAAGGGAGCCAGTTTTAAAAGTTTTCAAAATAAATGTGGAATTTATTCGGTGGTCTGGTGGTCCCAGAGGACATTTTAAAGGATGAAAATGACTTTTTAGGGAGCTACTTCTGGTAAGAATGTGTCACTGACCTAACGTTTTCAGGCCAATTTTGGGCTCCTTCCTGTCTGCTTCCACCGCACATTTAAATAGCATGCTTATTGCATAGCTGTGATTATTTGTATACCTCTTTTTTTTGTCTCTCAAGTGTGAGTACCCCAAACGGAAGAAATATACTAAAATGATTCTTATACCACTGAGCTTAGCAGAGTCTGTGCTTAAGAGGTGTTTGTAGAAGGATTAAATACAAATGAATGGAGAGTAGGTTGGGTTCTTTTTTGGTACTGGAACTCAAACTCAGGACCTTGCGCTTTCGAGGCAGGGCGTCACTGACTGAGCTAAATCCCCGGCCTTTTTTTTTTTTTTTTCTGTAAAATAGGGAGTGACCAGAAGTAGTATGCTGTAGATCAGGCAGATGATGAGAGTGACCCATCCAGGTACAGATAATAGAATTTTTTTAATCGATTGAATTCATCAATGATATTATTGCTTAGAACTACCTGTTTTAGGGCCGAGGATTTAGCTCAGTGGTTTCAGCGCCTGCCTCACAAGCGCAAGGTCTCGAGTTCGATCCCCGGTACAAAAACAAAACAAAACAAAACTACCTGATTTAAAAAGACACTAGGCAGTGTGAGAAACTGAAAGTGAAAATAAGGACCAAAAAAGAATAATAAATATTGTGAATAGGAAGAAATTGTTCAAAATTATACAAAATGTGAGAATCTTTGTCAATACTTAAAATATTTTCTGCAAAAAGTATAGTATTATTAGGAAATGAGCTGAGAGATAGATTAGCAAACGAAAATATATTCTTTTAAGATCACACACAATGTATTTACCATGGTTATTCTCTCTCTTTTTTTTTTTTGGTACTGGGGATTGAACTTGGATCCTTGCACTTGTGGGACAGGTGGCAGAACTACTGAGCTAAATCCTTGGCCCTCTCTAATAATTTTTGTTATAAAAATTATTTTTTCATAGAATGACTTTTATATTTTCTTTATTAATGTCTACTTGTAGATTAAAATAAAAATTTTTAAAAAGACAGTAGGAATAACAAAGCAGATAGATATTATTTGATAAGCTTTTCTATTAGAGGAACAGAAATTTATACTAATACATTCCCATTTTAGAAGGGTTGTGTGTGTGCATGGGTGTGTGCTTGTGTTTGTGTGTCTGAGAGAGAGGGATAGAGATTTGATCTGATTCATAAAATTTAGGTTTTAAATATAAATGTGGAAATAAACAAATAATTTATAATTATATTACTTCATTTCCTGGAACAATGAAAAGTTTATATTTCAGCTCTTTCCAGAGGATGTTTTATCTCAGTGACACAGCCTTTCCTTTGCATGCACTGTTAAAGAAATCACAGCTGTCTCAGTTTAATTGCCCTCAACAAAGTATAACATATAAGCTGATGGTATAACAAAACAATTTTGGTTTATCAGTAACACTCATAATAATAAAATCTCATTTGATTCAGGTTTGTTCTGACTCCTAGATAAAGGAAAGATTATCGCTACTCAGCCTTTTGGCTAAGATCAAGTGTAGAAAAAGGAAAGATTAAATATGATAATGGACTTGCACTAGAATGTAATGGTTAGATGAATAGGTGTTAGAATTAGACTGGGTTCAAATTCTGGATCCCCTATTTACTTTTTCCGGTGACAGTGGACTAGCTATTTCCAAATTAGTTTTCTCATATATGAAAAAAAGTCAATAATCTACTTTTCTCAGGCCTTTTGAGAATATTAAGTGTGATAATTAAGGTTAATCTTTGAAACAGTGCCTTTTATACAAAATGTACTTAATAAATTTAATTATTATTACAGTGCAATGATAAAGAATTTCTAGGGGTGCTCTGTAGAAATATTCCTTGAAGGGAGAGCATCCTGGCTGTGCTTGGCCATAAGGAGAGATTAAATGGCCAAAACAGACAAGTAGAATTAATTCTTGCTGTTAGCTTCATTTTCTTCTCTGTACCTGACCTGTTCGTGATGAAGCAGGTTATGAAAGTGTGATTTTCACTTATCTTATTTTGTGATAGGCCACAGTAAACACAGATGTGCAGGAACTATTTGCCATGGAATCTGGGGAGATTGGGAATCCCAAACCTACCTACTAGTTTATCTGTGAGGCCATCCACCCAGTGTGGAATATGTCAGCTTACCACCTTGAGGGCTCCCAGAAACTATGCAGCTGAAGAAGGACATATCCCTGCTGAATGGGCAATATGATCAGCTCAGGGATCTTTGTGTCACTCAAGGGGCTGCTGGCATACCTCCTATGGGTCAGGTCATGTGGACCACGGATGGACTCTTCTCTTTTGTGGGTATCCTTTGCTATGTATAGCTGGGACCATCATCATCAAGTCAGGGGCCAACTATGCTTATATTCTAGGGGTCTTTGGGGGCTTCGTTGCTTTTATCCATCTGTGGGCCTCAGTGCTAATTGTTGAACCTACCAGTCAGGCAATCATCATCATCACCTTTGCCCACTATATCATCCAGCCTTCTTCACCTGTGATCCCTCCTACTTGACCTTCTGTTTCCTTTTACTGCTTGCATATGTCTGTTGACATTTGTGAACTGTGCCTGTGTCAAATGGGGTACATGAATCGGGACATGGTCACTTACACCAAGGTCCTATGCTCATTGCTGTCATTATCAAGGACCTTGTTAAACTGCCAGGGATACTGTGAACACTTTCAGGATGCCCTTGATGGTTCCACCTGGGGTGTGGAAGACCTCTCTCTTGCCCGCTACCCTCTTCTACTCAGGTTGGGACACCCTTAATTTTTTTTTTTTGTATGGGGGATTGAACTCAGGTCCTTGCGCTTGTGCAGCAGGCAGTGAAACCACTGAGCTAAATCCCCGGCCCAACACCCTTAATTTTGTAACAGAAGAAATAAGTCCAGGAAGAAATTTACCTTGGCCATTGGGCTATCTGTGCCACTGTGACGCTTATCTACATCCTGACCAATGTGGCCTACTATATAGTGCTGAGCATTTCGGATGTCCTTAACAGTGATGCTGTGGCTGTGGCATTTGCTTGCTAGACATTTGGCACATTCAGCTGGATCACCCCCATTGCTGTTACTCTTGTTTTGCTTTGGTGGCCTCAATGCATCTTTCTTTGCTTCATCAAGGTTGTCCTTTGTGGGCTTCCATGAGGACTGTCTCCTGAACCTTCTGTCCCTGATCTACATTGAACATTTTATACCCATCCTTGCTTTATTGTTCAGTTGCACTATGACACTCACCTATCTCATTGTGGAGAATATTTTCCTGCTCATCAACTACTTCAGCTACTGCTTCTTTTTAGACTTCTCTGTTGTTGGACAGATCTACCTTCACTGGAAAAAGCTGGAGTGGCTCCTGCCTCTCAAGCTGAGCTTGTTTTTTCCCATCATATTCTGCATATGCTCCATGTTTCTGATTATTGTGCCTCTTCAGTGATGGCATCAGTTCTCTCATTGGCATTAGAATAGCCCTCTCTGGTCTTTGTCTACTTCATGGGTGCTCATCTCCCAGGGTCTGGGAGGCTAATTTTTATTCAGAAAGCCCTGGCTACCAGCAGCTTTGCTTTTTGTGTGTGTGTCTTGACTGAACTGGATGTAGCAAAGGAGAGAAAGGTTGAGAGGAAAACTGACTAGAGGCCAGAGGTGACATTCCTGAGGCCTGGCAAGCTGGCCATTTGTGGCCACACCCACCAAAGTCCAGATAACAAGAGTGTGGGCCCAACTCTCCTGAATTAAAGGAGTCTATTGACCCCACATTGTGTAAGGGGGAAAAGGGTAGTGATCACTCATTGGTAAGCTATGGGAGGACACTCAGGGTTAGGGTCAGCCTGAAGGTGGGAACCTCAGGAGCAGAGGAAGCTTGTTGCAGTGGGGGAAGAGGGAATGCTAGGTTGATGACTAGGGCTGGTGGTTTACAGCTATTTTAAGAGTTTGAACTAGGAATCTCGATAGAGGGGCTACTTTCAAGTCCAGCTACCTGACTTCAGAGGCTTGAAATGGTACCATTTCTTTCACTGGTTCAGAAATTTTTCCTGGAAAGAGGGTTGTGTTCCTTTGATATTTGTTTATATTTGGGAGGCACGAACAGCAAAGCTTTAACTAAAATGGGGACAGTGTTTCTTCTATTTCCTGAATTTTGTAAAAGTAGTATCATTCTCTGTCCTGGAACGTCACACTCAATTAAATAGTAAGATTGATGTGAGGAAGTCTTTTCAGGGTCTCAGCAGTACCCACCAAAGGTCCCTCCTTAAGGTTGACCTCTCATTTGTGGGGCCATGTACTTAGAGAGCTGCAGGATCTCATTGGATACAGATTATTCATCTCCTTGGGAAGGTCCTGCCTGTCTGACTGACTGAATTTGCTAGGATCATACTTGTAGTTATAGTCAGAATCCTTAAGAAAGGAAAGGAGCTTCTGAGTGCGAAACAAGTTGGCTTTGGCCACCCAGCTGTGCCCTTTCTAGCTGGAAGCCTGGTGCTTCAGTGGAGGCAGAACGGACACAGGCTGGGAAAAACTTTGTTACTCCAGCTGAGAGGAAGCAGCACTGGAACTAAGTGGACATGCTACTTCTGCCACCAAATTCAAACTCCTGTATTCCATTATTTCCTGATATTTAATCCAGAACACCAATTCTAGCAAAACATTAGTGTTTATCTACAGGAGGAAATAGGTTATGTTTACAAGTATGCAAAACTGAATCTGTCCTCAGACATGATTTTAACAACATATTTTATGCTCAATTTTGCACAATCTTCCCTTGTGCCTTACCTGTAAAGGAAACTTTAAGGATTTGAAAAAATCATATTCTTGTAACACATCCGTATATAGATAAATCAATATGTTACTAGCACCAGGCTCAGGTCTAACAAGGACAGATAAACAAATTTATGAGTCAGATGTCTGATAATCTTTTTTTTTTTTTTTTTTTTGGGGTACTGGGAATTGAACTCTGGTCCTTGTGCTTGCAGGGCAGGTGAAGGAACCACTGAGCTAAATCCCCTGATAATCTATTTTGAAGGATAATCTTTTATTTTATTGAGACTTTAGGTCTTTGCTCTAGGTGGTAGAAAGTAAATCTCTGGGTTTCTGGTATGAACACAGTGCTGTAATGTTCTGGAATTCTGAGTGATCACCTGAAATCTATCAGCTGTCATTGACTTAGAGACCATCTCATGGACCTATATTATATTTGTTCTTCTTTGTAAGGGCAGGTGTGAGGGACTGCTGTGCAGACCATGCAAGTCCATCCTGGTGTTGTGGTCATGTTTTCTTATTTTGAAAACCCCATACCAGACTTCATCCTTACTTCTGTCCTGAGTGCCATACTTTGTTTACACTCCTAGCTGCCTTGGGAGTTAATGCACTCCTCTTCTGCCTGCCTTCCCTTGCCAGAGGCTTGGTGGGGCATCAGTCTTAGAAAGACTTAGTACTTGTGGAACTTCTATTTTTTCCATGTGGAGATCAGTGAGAACTCTGGAAGAAACTGTAAGAGTGGAAGTAACTAATTTAGGTGCTCAAGCTGGGCCACCAGGTCAGGCCAGGGCAGCAAGTTGGATCTCACTGGATTTTCCTTCATAGGCAGTCCAGTTGCACTGGATTGTAAACAGTTAATCTTGGGCCCAGAAGAACCTGTTGGCTTGCCATACCCCAGGGACATCTTGTCCTTGGGTTTTGGGTTTGGTTATCTAAAGATAAGAACTAGGAGGCAACCTCTCCTTACCATTTTTTTTTGTCTTTGTAAAAGATTTATTAAATGTGTTTACACAGCAACTTCCCTTTTTGAGATACAGCTGCCAAGGAGAGACTGTTATTCTATAGGGACCAGCTGGTGCATGGTAGGCAGCTTTGGGTTTCCACCCTTCTCTTGTGAGATAGGGGTGGTGGGTAGGATCTCATCTTCGGGTTCTGTGATGCCCTCGTGGTCAGGCAGGGGCTTCTTGGGGCCAGTCTCACCACTTGGATCTTTACTTTGATGCCCAGCACACCCTGTCTGAGCAGCACATGGCTCATGGCAGTCAATGTAGTAGTTAACCACTGTGGATCAAACCATCCACAAACTTTGTGAACTTAGTCCTCTGTCTTGGGAGTTTTCTAGACACCAGGACTTTGTAGTCCTCGGCTCCACGGTCCCTTGTGAACTGTAGCACTCTGTAGCAGGTCCTCCACACAGCAAGGCCTCCTAGGAGTTTGTAATGCAGAGATCTGCTTGGACAATGGCACACAGACATCTTGTGGCCCCCTTCTTTGTGGCATAAATTTTTCCACTACCCTTAGGGAAGCCAGACCTCCTCTGAACCACAGTGGTCAATTCTAAAATCCTCCAGTCCTTCTTACCAAGAACTTTTTATAGCCTGCTAAAACACAATGATTTCTGTCCTGCTTGCTATAACTCGGACCTCAAGTCCACAGTAACCATCTTCAACCAGCTCCTGAGTTAGAAACTCATTCAGGTCAGCTTTGAAGATGTCATCTGTGAGAAACTTTCTCTTTGAAATCTGCATTGCCATCTTGCCGCTGCGTGCCACCAAAAGGCAAGGAAGTCCCCTTCTGACCATTCTTCACCACACTGCCCTGTCACAGACAAAGGAGTAAATTTGGAGGGCCGAGTACTTAGCTCAGTGGTTCCGCCACCTGCCTTGAAAGTGCGAGGACCTGAGTTCGATCCCCCGTACCAAAAAAAAAAGGAAAAAGGAGTAACTTCGGACATACATTTGCTTAATAAAGATTTAGGGGAGCATAAAAAAGGAAAGAAATATACCTTGAAGGTTAATTACATACCTATATAGATTTTATATTGAAAATTTTAAGAAACAATATAAAGGTGAAGTGGTATTATATTCATGTACTGTATATCAAAGAATTGTGTGAAATTGCACATTCTGAAGTGGTCTTGTTTTTCTGTGCTGTGTGGGGCCTCTCCTATTTAAAGCATTTAAAAAGATTCTATAGTCCTGCCTTTATGAGTAATTTATGTATTATATTTCATTTTGTGCAAGGTTGAAGAGTTTTTGTTTTGTAGAGTGTTTTGGATAGCCCATTTGCTATTGTATGTTATTTAATTATTTCTTTCCAGGTTCTTTTCTTTGCTGGATCTGGAATCATGAGTAACAAGAAGCTAAGACGAGTGGGTTTGTCACAAGAACTGTGTGACCGTCTGAGCAGACATCAGATTGTTACCTGTCGGGTAAAATGTATTTAATTGTTTGATTGCTAAGAGATTTTACATACTAATTAACTTTAAATATAGCCTAGTAACTCTTAAACCTGGAATTAAACACTTAGTTTTACAAAAAATAAACTAACCAATGGTGCTTTTCAATAAGCCACTTAAATTCATTTATTGAAATTCAATTTACTTGCATTTTTAGGGGTGAATGGTTATGGTGTACAGTGAAGTGCCTTTATGCCACTAACTTGAGGTTCTAAAGAAGTTTTATCAATGTAAAAGAAATTTTGTAGTTACATGAGAAATGTGACTTGGATGAGGAGATGGTATTCAACATGGATAATTTTTCCCAGAAAAGAAATTAATATTTAGGACTATTGTTTTTTTTTTTTGTATTAAATTCTTTTATTGGTACATTGTAGGTATACAACACAATTACATTTCTCATTGGGAGTTGTACCTTTATATAATGCATCTTGGTTCTTATTTTTTCCCCATTCCTAGCCCTCCCTTCACGCCCTCCACCCTTCCCTATTTACAAAGACTTTATTTCCATTTTTTCCATTTCTCATCATTTTTCCTTTCCCTTCTTTCCTTTCCCCTGTGCCTCCCACTACCCCTACCCCTTTGGACCTTTTATTCTTATTTTACATTATTGACTATTCATTCTAATAATTGGTACATTTTAGGTATACAATATAATGACACTCATCATTGGAAATTTGCACCTTTGCATAGTCTCTCTTGGTTCTTATTTTTCAACCTTGCCCAGCCCTCCCTTCAACCCCTCCAGTCCTCCCTATTTACAAAGATTTTGTTCCTATTTTTCCATTTTCTCATATTAATCCAATTCCCTTCTATCCTTTCCCCTAGCCCTCCCACTTCCTTCCCCTTTGCCCCTTTTCTTCCTATTTCACATAGGACTATTGTTTTACCACCATTTTCTTATTGATGGGGCTTGAGAAATCTGTACAGCACATGTTGCATTTTTAAGCACAATAATGAAGCAAATCCCTCTTAGGAAGGTAAGGTTTTGTTTTAGGATTTTATCTTTAATGAAACATGTTTAGCTGGTGCACACCTTAATATTCTCCATTACTTGGGAAGCTGAAGGAGCAGTGTTACAAGTGCCAGTCCAGCCTGGGCAGTTTATCCGGACTTTGTCTGAAAAAGGACTGAGGGTATAGCTCAGTGGTAGAACACTTACCTGGCATGTGGATGCCCTGGATTCAATTCCCAGTATCATAAAAAGAAAAACAAAAAAAAAGAAAAGACAGATTTTTAGAGCATGTTATAATCTTTTTGAATTGCTTGGCCTGTGAAGGATATCTTTGATTCTTCTGTTATACATTTAATAATCCTCATTTCATATTTTAATGAACTTATATTCATTTATATTTTTATTTAATGAATATGTTTTAATGCATGAGGTCCTGGCCTCAATTCCTAGCACTGAAAAAAAGAATAATTCTTTGATCTGCAATAAATTATGTTTATCTTGATATAGACTATTAATTGAACATTTCCTTTCTGTTTTTAATTTCAATATCTTTGTTATACATGTTTAAAATTTTCTCTTTATGTCTCTTTAGGACTTTTTATGTCTTTCCCCACTGGAAGTTATGAAGGTGACTGGCCTGAGTTATCGAGGTGTTCATGAACTTCTGTGTACGGTCAGCAGGGCTTGTGCCCCACAGATGCAAACGGTATATATATGTATATATATGTATGATTATGAAATGATTATCTCATTTAAAGTCTCTTTTGGGATGAAGCAAAAGTAGAGATGAACACCTCAAAAATACTGAGTTTCCTACTACAGAGTTAGTCCTTTAATGAGAGTTATTTATGAAAAATTAGGTATTAAGCTATGAGAGACAGTTCCTAAAATGTGGGAATTATGGGGGATCAGGAAGTTTTTATGTTTTTCTGCAGGCAATAGTGATATTTGAAAATGTCGTCTTTCTCTGTCAGATAGGATTTGAGTGTCTTATGGTTAAATTATAATATACTCTTACTTTTTGAATGTTCCTTTGTCTATCATAATGACCTTTACTATTACTACTTACTCTGTATTATCATGTACACATAATTGCACTTGTTCTTGCTTACTAAATGAATAATGGTGGGGAGAATATGGAGGAGGAAAGCTACTCACTTCAGTGTGGTAGGGCAGCAGAGAGAGAAAAGAAGAGACCAACTTCCCAATGTCTACTTCAAGGGCCTAGCCACAATGATCCAGCTTCCTTCCTCTAGACCCTTCCTCCCAAAGGTTCTACCACACCCAGTAATGCCATAGTCTACTGACCAAGCCTTTGGCATACAGGCCTTTTGGGGGATACTTAATATACAATCCACAACGAGCTCTCTTTCTTTTATGGGAAAAGAAAGTTAAAATAGTACATGATCATTTTGTGATTAGATTCAAATTAACTTGTTACTATCTTGTTAAGTCCCTAGATTGCCCAGGCTAGGGTCAAACTTGTGATCCTCTTGCCTCAGCATCCTGCAGTGCTGAGATTATAGATGTGTCCCACCATGTCAGTGTGATTTCTTATAAGAATTGTTGCTAATAGTGAATTTGTATACTACTTTTAAAAAAAATTATAAAGTATGAGAAAAACCTTTTAATTTAACATCTATTATTTTAATTGATCAATATTTATGGCATATTTCTAATTAGAAAATTTATAGAGCTTGGGCAGGAAATTCAACTTTGGTTTCTACTTCACCAGTTTCAGTTGCAATCTTAATATTATTCCAAATACATTTCACAAAGCCCTCTTTCTCCTTAGGTTTGTAACTACTCTTGTAACGTTCTTTGTATTTGAGTATTTTCTTAGATTTTGGCTTAGCTTAGTTCATCTCTTCAAAATGGATTTTTTTCATTTATTTATTTAATTGTTTACTTTTTCAACCAATAGCTACTCAGTGCCAACCGTGTGTCAGGTATTTTGTCAGGCACTGGGGTTATCATAGTGAACAAGCTTGATAGAGTTCTTGTTCTCAGTTTAGTAGGAAAAATTAGACTTTGAACAATATGGAAATGATTGGTTAATTATAGTATTGCCAAGTCCTAAGAAGGAAGAGTAAAAAGCTTTGGAACTTTGTAACAAGGGACATTACTTAGTTTGGAGGTCAATAGGGCTCCCCCAAGGAAACAACACTTCAGTGAAAAGTAAGCAGATGTCAGATCATTGCATGACCATATTTAGGATGGTGGACATTATTCTAAGAGTAATGGAAAGTGTATATAGTCTCATAAGTGTTTTTAAAAAATAGGTCTTGAATACAGATAAATGATTGAAATAGAAAATAAAAAAGAGTATTTAGGTATCTATTACTGTAGTCCAGATAGGAAGTGATTAGTGTGGTGTTAAAGCAGAGGGTATAGTGTTGGTTAGTATAAGTGATATTTAAGAAATAGAATTAATAAGATTTGGTGATTGTTTAGCTATGGAAGATAGAAAAGTGCAGGAAAATGTCAGATAATTCCCTGATTTTTGTTTTGAGAAACTAGGTGATGCCATTTCCTGCGATAAGAATACTAGAAGGAGGAGCAGGGGACAAACGGTGAATTCAGTTTAGTTATTGTCCAATTTAAGGCACTTGTGAAACATTTGGAGGCGATGTGAAGGCAGTTAAATTCGTATGTGGACCTGAAGAAGCCTGCACTAAAAGTATGTGTTAGAAGTCATCAGTGAAGGGCCAGGGATTTAGCTCAGTGGTTCCGCTGCCTGCCTCACAAGCGCAAGGTCCTGAGTTCAATCCCTGGTACCCCCTAAAAAAGAAATCATCAGTGAAAAGCCACGAGTGATCACCTAGAAAGCAGATACAGTGAGGAGATGAGTGTACATAAGATGGATTCTCAAGTGATGCCGTTGTTAAGTTCACATTAGATAATGAAAAGTCTGAGAAGCAGCAGCTACCTAAATAGAGGAAAAACTAATGTAGTGTCATATTATAAAATTCTTCTTTGTCTAATTTATTTACATACTATTATTTTTGGACTTGTTCTGTTAGTTCATCATATTTTTTTGACAGTCATGAAGTGTGTTAGTCTAGTAATTATATTTGCAGTTGTAAGTGAATAACTTTCATGTTGACTGACTGGGCTGCCTTCACATGTTTGATGAAGTATCCCCGTGTGCACTCATGTTGCCTGCTGATAGGTTATAGACAAAAGTGTTTGTGTAAGATGCTCACTGAAGTATTTCTTACATCAAAAAATGGGGAAAAAATTATTAGTAATGGGAAAAAGACATTTTTGCTACTCTTGTGTGCTAAAATAATACATATTAAACTATTTGAAAAGTTTTTAATATCAGGAGAAATGGTCAGGCTATAAATGCTTTGTGAAAAAGTAGGCTGGGAAATTGTTCATAGTATACCTGCCAATTTTATAAAAGTGAATTATATAGTAATGTGTTGGTTATTTATATATATATACATATATATGTATATATATACTGTATTATTAACAGTGATTATCTTTTGATTGTGGAATTCTATTATTGACTTCTATAACTTTTTTCTTTCCAATTTGCTATAGGTCAGTTATTGCTTCTAATTAGAAAAAAACTAGCAACAGTTCTTGTTTACCTCATAATCACTGGGAAATCTCTTAGTATCCATTTCTCAGCATCTGTAAAATGGAGATAATTATACCTATGTGTAGGGTTCACATAGGGTATTTATATATATGTATAGGGTTTTGAGTATTAAATGAAATGAATGTATAGTACTTATATAGAACTTACAGTATGGTAAGTTTGGGCACCTACCCAAAGAATGTTCATTACCTTTTTATATCCTTGCTTTTTTCCATTTTTCAATTCCTGAATTACAGCAATATATGAGAGAGGCTGACAATATTTGCTTCATATCCTAAGATAGTGACTTAGTAGTATAGTTTTAGCAAGGAGAAGCAAAACTAAACTGAAATACAATAAAACAAAACAAAACCAAAAAGCTTCAAACCATTACAACACTCACTTTTTAATACTGTTTTGAAAATGAAAAACAGAATTTCAGAATTTTATTATATTAGAAAAACTTTAGAAACACTATGTCCTTTGCTTTAGATATATTGATTAGTATGGCAGATTTTTCCCCCCTTTACTATTACCCTCCTTGAGCCTATTACTTTCTTTGGAATGGTTGGAATATCTTGCTGACAGATGGCCCACCTTCTATTATTACCTACCTTCAAGCTATTTTTCTAACCCAAACCTTTGAAATGGTAATTCAGTGTATTATTTTTTGGAGTGGCTCTAATACCAACCACAAACTACAGTAGTGGCTTCAAACAAGAGAGTTATTTTCTCACAGTTCTGTAGGCCAGAAGTCTGAAATCAAGGCAGAGGCAGAGCTGCATTTTCTCCAGGGACATTTAGTGGAGAATCCATTTCTTGCCTCTCCAGTTTACCACGAACATTGGCTTGTGGCCATTCCCTCTCTGCTTCATCTTCACATGGCCTCTTCCTCTGTATATTGTGATGGCATTTAGGATTCACCCAGATAATCTAGGATTATCTCTTCATCATGAGGTCTTTAATTTTTTTTTTTTGTGGTACTGGCGATCGAACTCAGGACCTTGTGCTTTCAAGGCAGGCAGCAGCACCACTGAGCTAAATCCCCAGCCCGATGAGGTCTTTAATTTAATTACATCTGCAGTGACCCTTTTTCTGATTAAGGTGACATTCACAGAGAGGTTCTAGGAATTTGAGGTGGATATCTTTTAGAGGATGGCTTCTCAACCTATCACAACTTCCTTCAACTTATTCTTCACACATCAACTGGAGTTTGAAATGATAACTTGGTCATGTTACTCCTTGTTTCTCAGCATAAACTCCAAACTTCCACAGAGGTCTTCTTGATTAGACCTCTGGTTCATCCTATGGTCCAGTGGTGGCGAACTTATGGCACTCCTGCTGCAGCAGGCTGTTTGTATCATTGAAAGCTCTGAGAGGTTTGCCATCCCTGCTGTAGCCTTATCACTTGCTACACTGTGATTACACTCCATCTTCCAGCCATTCTAAGTACACTCTGCTTACTTTTTGCAGTTTTCATTAGTTTCATATTCTCTCTTGCTTTTGACTTTCTTTGTACATTCTGTCCTCTTTGGCAGGAATACCCCTATCTCTTTTGCTTATCTAGTAACTATTTCAGATTTTAGCTCAGATATTCACCTCTTCAATGTAGCCTTCCTAGATCACAGGGTCCAATCAGTATACCGTCTGTATGTGTTCACTTTTCCTATCACAATGTCTCTTATTAGTTGTATTGTATTCACCGAGTTTCTAGTCTTAGTTTCATAGTCTCTGGTTGCTGATAAGCCTGTGAAGGCAGGGGTCTGTTGTATCACATCCCCATACTCTAGCACAGTCCCTAGCATGGAGTAAATGTTTATTGAACAAATAAATAAGAGGGAAAAAGGATGGATTGGGGTCCCAGGTGCTAAAATTCAGAGGTTAGGAGTTGATATGTCTTTTCACATACATATATGGAAGATGTAAAGAACTTAACTCTTTTCTTCTTCAGGTTTATGGGATAAAGACACAAAGGTCTGCTAATCACTTGCCAGCTTTCTTATCTACGACCCTCTCTGCTTTGGATGAAGCCCTACATGGTGGTGTTGCTTGTGGATCCCTCACAGAGGTAAAGGAAAAGCTTTCTATATCTTGTATTGATCTTCAGAGCCAAGAGGAAAACTTTAGTTAAAAACATAAACAATTTTATAAACATTAATCTGAATTAAATTATAAGTACTTCAAGGGTGTGGTTCTGCACTCAGTACCTAGAATAGCTGTGCAGATGATGGTGTTAAAAAAAACATCCTGTGGACTGACCAAAATCTGTTTAGGTACCTATTCCTTTGAATCAATTTAGAAAGTGATGAGTATTATGAAATAGTATTATGAAACAATTTGAAGGAATTAAAAAAGGATCACTACTTAGTATATAAGGAAGGCATATTTGAAATTTTATTAACATTTGAGGAAATAATACCATCAAACTAAGCTGAGCTATTTTTATTGCTTGTCATAGATAAAACTTGGTTTAGGAAGTGATAGGTTATTGTGCTAGTTAATATCATTGCATAACAAATTATCCTAAACAATTATAAACATTTATTTACTTCTCAGTTTCTTTAGGAATGGCTCAGCCTAGTGATATTGGCAAGGGATGCAGTCATCCAAAGCTTGCTTGGGGCTGGAGGCTGTTTCCTAGGGGGCTCACTCATGACTGGCAGGGTGGTGCTGATTTTTGGTTGGAGGCCCCAGTTCCTCCCAAGTGGACTCTCCACAGGTTGCTCCAGTCTCCTCATGACATGATGGCTGACTCACCAGGGTGAGTGGTCTTAAAGAAGGCAAGATGGGGGAGGTGGTGGCTTAGATGATCTAGCTTTGGAAGTTCCACACTACTATTTCTGCCACATTCTTTTCATTGCAAGTGAGTTATTAATTCCAGCCCACATTCAGAGAAAGGATAATTGGGCTTGAAGGAAGTGTCAAGAAGTAGAAGACATTTTAAAAGCACTGCAGTTCCTTCCCCTCAAAGCTACATTTGTGTGTTTATGGATAGACTTATGTATTTGCTAGACTGTGTATTTACCAATACACTCCTGAAGATACCTTTCCTGAAAGTTCTAGAAGCTCAGTTCAAGAAATTTCTTTTTTTTTAACCTCAAATAGTAAGTGATATTCAATAGTTTTCTGAATGATGGACAATAAATAGTAACTTCCTAATGCAGAATAAACTTCTTATATAGGAAGGCAAGAAATTTCTAAATAAGAGCAGACTCTTTTCTTACATTCTGATAGTCATATTAATTTTTTCATTGAAGATAGAGATTCTGTTTTAGATACTGTACCTTATTTTATTTTCTATCTTCCAAAAGTGATTTTAAAAATGCATGTGAATTATGCCTAGAAGATGCCTTAGTTAGAAACCCTGCAGTTGCATCGAATTATCACCAGATGGCGCCAGAATCATAATATAGTACCATACCTGACAATCTTCCAGGGATTGAGTTGGACAGCTCAATTATTAAATTTTGTAACAATAATGATACATAGTTATAAACTTATTTAAATAGAAAAAAATTGAACTTGAAGATTAACCATTGCATGCTTTTATTTTTAAAATTTGGAATAATTTTCAATACTTTTTCACTTAGTTTTTATCAATTCTTTTTGAATCCAAGTGGAAGTTATAAATCTTTTTGATGTTGTGATCTACTTTTCTGGCTTCGAATATCAATACTTTGACTGCTTTCTCTACTTTCTGTTGTATTGTACTGCAGGTAGCCTTTTCTGTCTTTTTGGGGTTCTTCAGCTGAATGTAGGGAGTATCTCAGTTTATCTTCCATTAAGAAACAAACTTTTTTCTGAATGTGGTGGTACACAGCTGTAATCGCAGCATGCAGGAGGCTGAGGTAGGAGGATCATGAGTTTGAGGCCAAATTAGGGTATATAGCAAGTTGAAGGCCAGCTTGGATTACATAATGGTACGCTATGTCAAAAAAACCCCGTTTTTAATAGACCCTAGGTATACAAAATCAAATATATCTTATGTATATAAATTATGAACTTTTATGATCCTGTATACCAATATAAAAACCACAGTAATACAGAAACCATTAAACTTAATGGTCTTAATCCCTGATCTGTCATTGGTCTTCTTTTGGGAGGTAAACTCCATCCTGAATTTTTATCATTCTCTGTTTTTTTCTTTTACCTTCCATATACTTCCACAGTAGATATAACAACATTTTATTTTGCTGTGCTTACTTTTGAACTTTATTTTATGTCTGTGATTAAATCATGATCTCCTCTATAAATTGCTTTTCTCACTTGTTATTTGTAAGATTTATCTGTGTTATTATTGTAGGTAGCAAGAATATAATTCGCTTTTACTGCTGTATACTATTCCACATTGAAAATATGCTTAATTTTTTTTATCCTTTCTCTTGTGAGTGAACATTTGAGTTGTTTCTTTTACTGCTAATATGAACAAATCCTGTGACAACTTTTGTATTTGTCTCCTGGATCACACGTGCAAGTATTCCTTTAAGGAAGGGATCGGCAAAGTACTACCTACTAGTTAAATTTGGTTTGCTGGCCATTTTTGTAAATAAAGTTTTATTATAACATGGCTGTGCTTGTTTGTTTACATTTTGTCTTTGGCTGTTTTGTGATACAGAGCAGGGTTGAGTTAGTTGGGGCAGCCTGTGTGGTGTGGAAAACCTAAAAATATTTATGATGTGGCTCCTATCTAGGATATCTACCTTAGAGTGATTTGGTGACTAGCATATACACATGGGTAACTTTGCAAAATCAGTACAGATTGTTTTTCAGAATAATTGTGCCTATTGATATTTGTAGCATTTGTGTGTACAAGTTTTCTTGTTCTGTATCTTCTAGCCTTGGTATTGTCAAACTTCTGTGCATCTTTGTGATTTTAATTTTCATTGTCGTAATTATTGATGAACTTTCAGAAAGTATTTGGATATTTTTAAAAAACAACTTTATTAAGGTATAATTTAAATATCATAAAATCCAGCCATTGTAACTATATAATGTAATGATTTTAATAAATTTATAATTGTGCACACATCATTACAATTCAAGTACAGAACCTCCATGACCCACTTTGCTTTATTTTTTTGTTCTTTTTTCATGTAGCTGTACAGTGAATTCTTATTTTTTATTAATGTCTATTAATTTTATGAAACACTGGGTTTCAGTGCATATGTTTTGATCATATATACCCGCTATTATCCTCTTACATTCTTCTTCCCCTCCCCCTAATCTCTTCCTCTTGGCTAATAATAGTCACCTTTCTACTTTGATGTCAACTTTTTTAGATTCCACATATTAGGGAAAACACAATACTTGTCTTTCTGAGTCTGGCTAATTTCGCTTAACATGATGATTTCCAGTTGCATCTACTTTTCTGCAAAAAACAAAATTTAGTTCTTTATGGCTGAATAATTCTCCATTGTCTATATGTAGCACATTTTCTTTATATTTTCATCTATTGATGGGTACCTAATCTGGTTCCATATCTTGGCTATTGTGAATTGTGCCAACATAAATGTGGGTATGCAGGATTCCTGTAGTATGCTTTAATTCCCTTGGGTGTATATACCAAGGAGTGATATAGCTGGATCAAATGGTAGCTCTATTGTTGAGGTACCTCCATACTGATTTCCATAGTAGCTGTATTAATTTACATTCTCACCAGCATTGTAGAAGGGGTCCTTTTCTTCCACATTCATGTCTTTATTTATTTATTTATTTAGTGTTCTTGATGATAGCCATTCTGACTGTGATGAGATGGAATCTTTTTTTTTTTGTACTGGGGATCGAACTCAGGACCTTGCACTAGTGAGGCAGGCACCATGCCACTGAGCTAAATCCCTGACCCAGATGGAATCTTAATGAAGTTTTAATTTGCATTTCCCTAATGGCTAAAGTGGTTGAACGTTTTTTCATGTACTTCTTGGCTATTTGTATTTCTTTCTTGAAGTATCTGTTCAATTCATTTGCCCATTTATTGATTTTTGGTGTTAAGTTTTTTGAGTTCTTTATATATTCTATATATTAATCTGCTGTCAGAAGGGTAGCTGGCAAAGATTTTCTCCCATTTTGAGGGTTGTCTGTTCACTGTCAGTTGTTTCCCTTGCTGTGCAGAAACTTTTAAATTTGATTTAGTCCTGTTTGCTTATTGTTGCTGTTAATTCCTGTGGTATTGTGTCAGGAAGTCTTTACCTTTTCCTATGGCTTCATGTTTTTCCTCTGTGTTTTATTTTAGCAGTTTCAAAGTTTCAGGTCTTATACCTGAGTCTTTGATCCATTCAAGATCGATTTTTTTTGTTTTGGTACCAGAGATCGAACTCAGGACCTTGCGCATGTGAGGCAGGCGCGGTGCCACTGAGCTAAATCCCTGGCCCAAGGGATCGATTTTTTTGTACAGGGTAAGAAATATGTATCTAGTTTCAATCATTTATGTTTAGCTATCCAGTTTTTCCCAGCACTATTAAAGACATTGTCTTTTTTTTCTTCCACATACAGTTTTGGCTTCTTTTTCCAGAGTCAGATGGCTGTAGTTGTGTGGGTTTCTGTGTTCTCTATTCAATTCATTGTTCTATATGTCTATTTTTGTGCCAGTACTATGCTGTTTTTTGTTACTATGACTTTGTATACTTTAATTTTTTGTTTTTATTTTTTATCAGTACATATTTACATTGCATAATGATTATATTCCTTGTGGGGAATTGGTTCATGTACATAACACATCCCAGTTCTTTTTCTTCCCCTTTCTTTCCCTTGTTCCTCTCTTCCATTTCTTGATCTCCTTCCCATTTGAAAAAAATATTTTTTCCCCATTTCTTATTATCTAATTTTTATTTTGTTCTTATTTATATTTTGGGTTTCTCATATAAGAGAAATAATGTGGTATTTAAGCTTGCATGTTTGATTTATTTCACTTAACATTATGGTCACAAGGTGTATCCATTTTTCTATAAATGACTCAAGATAGTCTTTTTTTATGACTGAGTAGTATGTACTCCATTGTTTGGAAATATAGCATTTTCTTTATGCATTCATCAGTTGATGGACATATAAACCATTTCCAAGTAATCTTGTAAT